CACGGAGGGTTTCACCCCAAATCCAGCACCCTGAGACTGTATGCTAAGCGGAGAGAGGGAGGCCGAGGACTAGTGAGCATCAAGGCCACTATCCAGGATGAAACATCAAAAATCCAAGAGTACATAAGAAAAATGGGCACAAAGGATGAACTGCTAAGTGAATGTCTCAGGCAACAGAAACCCAATAAGAGTGCCGAAGAAGAAGAGGAGCAGAAAACCTGGAGGGACAAGCCCCTACATGGCACGTACCACCGCCAAATTGAAGAAGTGGCTGATATCGAGAAGATAGAGACCAATGGCTGGAAAAGGCTGGACTCAGAGACAGCACAGAGGCACTGATCATGGCAGCACAAGAACAGGCCCTAGGTACAAGAGCCATAGAGGCCAAGATCTACAAGAGTAGATCTGACCCAAGGTGCAGACTATGCAAAGATGCCCCTGAGACAGTCCAGCACATAGTAGCAGGGTGTAAGATGCTAGCCGGGTCAGCGTACATGGAGAGACACAACCAAGTGGCTGGAATAGTGTACAGGAACATCTGTACCCAGTATGGAATAGAAGTACCCAAATCCAAATGGGCCGCACCACAGAAGGTGGCTGACAACAACAGGGCCAAGGTGCTGTGGGACTTCAGCTTCCAGACTGACAAACAGGTCCTGGCTAACCAAACAGGTCCTGGCTAACCAACCAGACATAAGGGCACGCTTTACCGCCATACAAAGCAAAACCATAGAAACAGTCTTTTTTTTTTCTTGATCTGGGTAGTGGGTACAAAAAGAACCGATTGCAGGTATCGTTTGACAGGCGCAGTTTCGATACTACTCGATACTATGTTGTTTCGGTCGATACCTGAAAGGTATCGAGTACCGATACCCAGCCCTACTATCAACCAAGATTTTTTTTGGTTGCCTAAGTCCTACTAATAATATACCCATGCAAACACACACACACACACACACACATCTGTGTGCTTGGGTCTTTGCTCCTTTTGGCTGACAGACAGGCTAAAGCCATAAAGTAGTCTGGGTCTCTCAGGTAGTCCTCTCTCATCATGGTTGTGCCACTACAGAGAAACACAGAAAAAGACAGAAAGAGGATGTAAAGTTTTGTGAGCCAAGAGAAAAATCATTTATTTGTTTAATATTTCCTTTGCTTTCATTTACTGAAATCACAGCTCATGTGTGAGCAGTAATCCCTTCTGTTTACACATCTATCCAGACTCTTTTTTCCACTTGTATTACCTGATCTACATACACAGTTAACTGGTAATTATTTGCAACAAGATTATTACCATAAACACAATAACTTACCACAGTCATCTTTTGAGAAGAACCCTAAAGTGCATAATCTTCAGTAAAAGAAATATGCTGAACTTTGGCGATGCAGTCGCGACGTTTTAAAGCTGTGCCTGGTGGAAGTAAGAGTTTGGGTCTGTGTTTTTGTCAGCTCAACCAAGAACCATGTAGCCATGCTACTATTTTATCATACATGAACTAAACAGAGGCCGAAAACTTTACGGTCGAGTTCAAGGGCAAAAAGAAAAACAGGAGCTCTGCAAGAGATAACACCTAACAACACACGTTGTTAGGTGTTGTCTGATGTTCACATACAGTACCATGGTTAGCCCCACTGGGACAGACTGCCAAAACAATTATGACCCTGATGGTTTACAGTCCTGGTTTGGGATTTTGAAAATATATTGATTCAATTTGTGCCTCTATGTTAAATGTAGACAAAAGGCTCAAACTACTGACCTGTTTGGACTCTGTTTGGACCAGGACTCTGTGGCTGATTTTCTGCCAGTCTTCCAGATATTGGATTTCCTCGGTTGGAGTTGATCTCAGTGGCTGTATGAGCTTGATGTGAGAGTCAGTCTCTGTATTTATCGGCGGAGTGCAACGACTTCTGACGTCAAATAGGGTTGGGTGGATCCAATAGGCTATTTATTCATTATTAACAGTGATGAAGAGACCAGTTCTTCAAGTAACTTGCTATATAAACTACATGGTTGGAAAATATTATAGATCCAAGACGAAACTGTCAGGAGGGCAGGACTGAGAGAGCAGGTGCAATTACAGTTCAAAATGCTATGTCATTATGTATTCAGTATATTGAAGCAATGGCGATTCTGGGGGGTGGCCTGGCTCATTGGCCACCTGTGGCCACCCCAGATCTGATAGGTAGTTGGTCAAGTTCGTCAACACAAGAAAAAAAATGCTGTCAATCAAATAAGTTGATCAATATTTAGGGCCAGTTTTTCATTTTTAACTAACACAGTAATGGTCGTACTGAGGCTGTGAGCTGATTTCTGCTCAGCGGACGTTTGGCCATGCAGGTCGGTGACCCATGGGGCACGCTGCCCTGCTGCTGCTGGGGCCCGGGGGGGACGGAGAAAGTTACAACATCAACAAAACAAAAAATATAGAAAACGCTGACAGTCTATCGATTGAGAGGAATGGTAGTTTAATGTTTAGTTATATCGTAGTTCCCTCTGAATTGGAGAAACTTTATCCTAACAGAAAGGAACAATTAAGCATTGAATGTTAGCATTTTGTTTTTTTATTATTTGAAAACCTATTTTCTGGACTGAAGACTGTTTTTTCTGATGTGTGTGTTCAATAGAGCTAAATTTTTTTTTTTTGCCCACCTGTGTGTGAAATATAGAGTGACAGTCTAGATTTAAGTTAGCTATAACAGAAGAACAAGCTGTGACTTATTTATTTGCTCTGTGCTTTAAGGGCTCTTAAAAGACTTATTTCTCTTGGAGATGAAGGACTTTTTGTTTGTATCAATTAGCTCATCTTCACAGTTCACATGTTTTTAGACGTTTAAATAGGCAGAGGCAAAGCAAACTGCATTCAAATGCCACAAATGCTTGAGATGCAATATGTGTTAATAGTGTTATTAAAAGTGAGTGGTAAGAGTGGTAGTTATGTAAAAATAAACCTTTGTAGATCCTATAAATAGACATAATTAGGCACATTGTTGACACCTCCCTTCTTTTTGACATTTTAATGGAGTCAAAGCTGTTATTTAAGGGGTCCAGAGCCCCACCAACACCTGTATTTTACACACTGATTCTAACCCAATTTGACAATGATCCTGCTTGACGTTTGTAGTTATAGCTATTACTTTAAAGTGAATTGACTGACTGACTGATTGAGTGATTGAATTACATTTCCCCCAGGGATATTAAGAGAATAGTTACGAAGAGAAGCAGAGATATTCAGAGCTTCTTCAAAAAAAAGAAAAGAGTCAGAGCCAGCCACAGCTTCTACCAGCAGCAGTGAAAAGGCTCAGTCAAGTCAGCAGCCTAGGTACAGCAGTAGTGATGAAGAGGAGTCAGCTCCTCCTGCACAGGATGGTAAGTCATGCTTTAGTTTATCTTTTGCTTACAGATACACTTTTTAATGAGGTCCTATCTTTAAGCATTTTGGTTTGTTCTGTTGCCTGGTTTGCTGTGTTTTTATGTAACCACAAGATGGCGCCTCAATTAGTAAAGCAAACACAGGTAACAATACAGGTGACACAGATGATGAGCTGATGACTGATAAATGTCAATGTATTTAAATTCAGTGTGACGGCCCTAGGGTTGGCCTTATTCTGTTCCTCTTGCTTGGTTGTATACTCTTTGTTTCAGGAAGTAGGGGGTGGAGCTGAGATTACCCTCTGATGCAGCTCACCTGAGGAGGCTTGGCTCAGGAGGCTATAAATCAGACCTGCAAGGCTCTCTCACTCTCTTCCCCTGACCTGCTGACTGAAATGTTGGTTTTTGTTTGTGTTCTGGATTTTACATTTATAAATATACACCTCACCCTTCACTCACACAGACATTGCAGACATACTGATTTACTAATAGACATATTAAACTGTATTGATTATTTTGGTATTTACTTAATTACATTGTGTTAACAATTCACAGACTGTGTGGTCTCCCTCTTTGTCACACTCTTTTGAGCCAGGTTGTGACTAAATAGGGGCTCGTCTGGGAGTGATAATCATCTCTGTTATTAATGATTTTTATATCTTCTCAGAAGATAAAATGACACAAAATGCACTGCAAATGTGAGGTCTTTTTCCTTTACTCACAACGTCATCAGAAGCCTGAGAAGAATGCCCTTGTCTGTTGGAAGTGCGTTGTAAGGTGATGTTTCTATGGCAGCCAAAGATGTTTGTTAGAATGAGTGGAACAGGGACAAGCACTTAACAGAAATAACACAATTTATTCCTTGGGTAGATCACTTCAGGATGAAATAGAGTAGACACCACACCAAGATAAATTATTTAAATGTATTTCTAAATACATTTTAGAATATATCAAACAAAGGAAACTGTAATTAAATGCTTTTCATAGACCTATTTACAGTGATAAATATCAGTGTTGTATATACAATTCATAGATCAGTGCTGTAAATGCAGGTCAGAGGGCTGTACTGTTATTTTGATACATATAATAGTAACAGAAATTATATATTAACTTTATTTCATAAGTTTTAGTGAAGTCCAATAAGTTGACACTAATTTCTTTCAGAGAGAGTTAATAAAGATTTGAGTCCATTTGACAACATTTACAGAGGTCAGTGCTGTAGATACAGGGCAGATGTAAGTGCTGTAGATACAGGGCAGATGTCAGTGCTGTGTTCAAATGTTACCAGAATCCATACAGACATTCTTTGAATAATATATATCACACACCATATTTTCTATTTCAAAAAATATTTTATCACAGATCACTAAAATAATTGACAATGCACCCTACACCAGCAGAATGATGACATGTGCCTCAACATTATTTGAAATAATCCACTTTCTGTTCTGAACATCTTTGAACATTATATTAAATCATTTTTGTTAAACCATACTTAGAACTTGTAGGGAATGTTAGCTAACGTTGTGGGAACATTCCTTGCAATCTGGGATGGCCGACAGAAAAAGCTGAACATGTGACAGAGAGTCAGTCAGATATACTCCAGTAAAGCTCCACCTCTTCCTGTACGCAGACAGACACTGAGGACAGCACATATCAGAGAGACCAGATCAGAGACCAGACAGATGGACAAAGAGACGCTCTACCTGGACATGGATCACATGTTGGTACTGTTGCTGTTGCTGTTGAGCTCAGGTAGGACTCTGCTTTAAAGATGATGTGTTAAATATTTGTGTTGGATGTTGGAGGAACATATGAAGGCTTCATTTACAGAAACAGATATCTCCATTTTCATTGATTTTAAATCAGTTTTGTTATGAGTGAATATCAATCAAACTGCTGTTGGTTGATTCAGTTGAAGAATGTTTTTTATCTGTTTTTCACAAAACTCTGTAAAATCATTCACATTAAATTTTAATCCTTCAGATTTTCATCAAAGCCAGTTTTTTATTCTATTTTTACCCAATAATTAGTTTGCAACCACCTATTAATATATTTATATACATTCTGTAAATAGTAATATGTATATATATATATATATATATATATATATATTTAGGGCTGGGACTTTATCGCGTTAATTACGATTAATTAATTACAGAAAAAATAACACGACAAAAAAAATAACGCATTTAATCGCAATTTATTCTTGCACTCCAACTGGAACTGCTGGGTTCGGTGGGCGGAGTTTTAAGTTTTAATAAACTACTGGGTGGAAAGCCTGTTAAAAGCACAGTTGTGTGCAATTTGTGCAAGAAAGAATCACCGGAGCACTTCCAGCCTCCGCTACCACCTCAATGCCAAACATACAACAGACAACGCTCCTAGTTCGAGCAGGTTTTTTATTTTAATAAACAAAAACAAAGAAGACATAGAAAAGTTTACAAAAAGTCCTGAAAAAGCTTGAATATAGCTAACTTGAAATTAAGTTTGTGCCTTGTGAACAATGCAATCAAAATATTCTTTATTCATATTGCACTTTATGTTAACACTCAGTGTCCATTCATTGATTCAGTCATATACCAAAATCCATTTAAATTGAAAAATGTTGCTTCTCGTGTCAAATATTGATATGCGATTAATTGAGATTAATTAATTACAAAGCCTCTACTTAATTAGATTTTTTTTTTTTTAATGGAGTCCCACCAGTGATTATCTTTCTGTGCAAGGGATGTCCAATCTGATCTCAAAGATTGGTATCACCGGTATCAGGTTTTATTGATCTTTTGTTTAAATCGGCTGTCACACAGCTGTTTTTTACTCACAAGGCTACCTTGCACGGTGCAGCCACCATCAACTCTGCTGAAAGAGAGAGAGAGAGAGAGAGAGAGAGAGAGAGAAATCAGAGACAGTAGACATCTGACACAACCACACTCAACACACCACTGCAAGTGCAACAATAGCCCCACAAACAAAAAGTCCCTGAGAGTAATTCATTCATGTAATCCAAACAAAACATATAGAGACGATGGAAATGAACAGTCAGCAGAATACAGTTCACTTAGGTAACTCAGTAAAGGCTGCACCAAACACTGGAGAGAGAAATTCCTTCAATCCAAAAACCATAACTAGAATCACAAAGTTATGGAAAAAGTGAAAAGAGAACAAGTTGTTTTTGTTCCCCTCAAAACGAAAGCTGTCTTCTGACTGGTATGACTTTTTAATCATTAGCATATGTGAATATGTCTCCACAGAGAGCGAGCAGTAGTTGAGGCTGAGGTAATAGCACAAGCAGAGGGAACTGATAAAAATTGTTCCACCAAAAATCATATGTTCAAAAACAGACGAGGAGAGAGAGCCAAGAAATTACCATCACTTTGGCCAAACATCTTGAAACATCTGCAAGCTTAGAAGGTGATAAAGATTAATGCTCTCTCCTGGATTTGTATTACTCTGTGGGAGTCCTTCTCCATCCCTGCTCCGCACTTTCTCTGTGTTACCAGGACTGATAAATTGCACCGCAATCTGGAGCTGTTTAAATCCAAACACAAACACAAAAGGTAACTGTAATTTTGTTGTTAGTTTTGGCACTCACTATTTTTCAGTCAGCATTGCGTATACCCATTTCTAACCCCCCTGATGCCACCATTCAGTAGTATCTGCGGGCCAAATTGCCCATTTTTTCCCTAGGATGGTGAAGCCATGACCCACACTACTCTGCCTCTAATTGGCCAATACTCGCTGCCTTTACTGATTAGATTGGTTAACTTTAGGCATGACGAGGAATGAGCCAATCAGAGGCAGAGAAGGGCGGGTCATGTCGATGTAAATATTGCTAAAGACAAATTCACTTTTACAAGTTTACTTTAAATGATTTGCCTTTAGGATTTGTAATGAACCGGTAAGATGAAGCGAGCTATCCAAACAAACATTTAATTTGACAATTACAAACATCAACATCAGCCAGCAGCTCAGCTAATGTTAGCGATGCTTCACCGGTACAGTCAACATCGACGCTCGCACCTATATATCTAATATAAATATAATATATAATATAATATCTATCTATCTATCTATCTATCTATCTATCTATCTATCTATCTATACCTACAAACTGCTCCTGATCAAGTCATGTTCATTTTATAATAGTGGCACACTCTGGCCCACGCTATCTGTTGCAATCAGCTGTTCAAAGACAGTTTACAAAAGAAACTACTGACTTGCCAAGTGAGAGAATAGGTGTCCTTCCAGGAATAAGGAATAGTTCACTCAAAATGCATAGTTGTCTCTCACTAGTCTGTGGGCCAGTATTGGTTCAGTAATTTCATAATCCTTCCTCCCTGAGATCAAGCAGCAAAAATTATGTGACAATGAGCAAATACTACTGACGGATTTTTGGGTAAACTAAATAGATATAATAATATTAGAATATATAATATATCTAATAAATTACATGTCATTGTTTCTAAAACAGGGCGTTTTTCTGGGCTGCGTTAAAGAAAGGGCAAAGATTGAGAATATACCCGCTTCTCCAGGGACCACTACACCACTGTATGGAGGTCACTCATTGTTAGGGATGGGGGATCAAGACCCGGTTCCAACTTTCTCAAAACCCGAAAATCAGTAAGGTCCAAGCTTACTGACACTGCTATCGAGACTAGCGGGTCCTATAATGTTATATCTTAAGTAGGGTTGAAACAATTCCTCTAAAAATCATCTATGCAAATTACGTTGCACCAAGGCTTTGTTTAATCCATACAACTATATAACGCGTACTGTGTTTTCAACAGATGACGATTACTGTTGGACATTGTGCTTCGGAGAGAGAAAAAGCGAGTGGCAAAAGAAGAGACAGGCCAGAGAAACTGTCAGAATGTTTGGGATCATTTCAAGCAGAAACAAAATGAAAACTTTTGTGTTCAGGGTATTCACATGTTCTTCTAACCTGTAGTAAACAGGTAAACTGACTGCAGTGTCCTCCAATAAAAATGCTGCTTTATACTTATGTATATTTTCTGTTTTTCTCCTCAGGACTGCAAATAGAAGGAGAACAAAACACAGGTAAATACAGAAAGAAAAGAGAAATAAATAATTATAGTCACTTCTTATGCTGATGACTCTCTTGTTTCTGTTCAGAGCCTGTCAGGTTGGTTGGAGGAGACAATCGCTGTGCAGGAACACTGGAGCTGAAACATCAGGGAGACTGGAGACCAGTTGGTGACTCTCTCTCTGGCTGGACCCTGAAGGAAGCAGCTGTTGCCTGTGGAGAACTGGACTGTGGCTCTCCTGTTTCTGTACTACGGAAAGAGGAGTCCTCAGACAGACGTGTCTGGAGGGTCAGGTCTAACTGTGTTCAGTCTGGATCTGCTCTCAGGGACTGTGTAACATCAGATTCCTCTTCCTACATCCTGGATCTCGCCTGTTCAGGTAAGACCATCAGGTTATTTTAATAATCTGTGCTGTTATAAAGATGTGTTTGAATCACTGGATTGGGGCGGCTGTGGCTCAGGACGAAGAGTGAGTTGTCCACGAGTCGGAAGGTTGACAGTTCGATCCCCATCTCCTCCTGTTGCATGTTGACGTGTCCTTGAGCACAATACTGAACTTCAAATTGTTCTGTGATATAATTATATATGAATTAATTACTTTGCTTTTGCTATGGCTATCGCTGTATCGATGTGTGTGAATGAGTGAATGTGGCATGTAGTGTACGGTGCCTTGAGTGGTCAAAAGACTAGAAAGATGTCCATTTACCAGTTGATGACATCTTTTTATTTTGTGTCTGCTTTTATCTCTCTCTATTTTATCTTCTATTATTTGTCCAGACTCTGTCAGGCTGGTGAATGGGACTAGTCTGTGTTCAGGAAGACTGGAGGTGAAGTCTGACCAGTCTAACCAGTGGTGGTCCTCAGTGTGTGAAGCTGACTTTGACAAGCAGGATGCAGAGGTGGTCTGTAGGGAGCTCGGCTGTGGGGCTCCTTCAGTCCTCCAGGGGGCGCTCTATGGAGAAGTGGAGTCTCCAATGTGGACCAAAGAGTTCCAGTGTGGAGGCAATGAGTCTGCTCTTCTGGACTGTAGAAGCTCAGGCTCAGCTAGAAACACCTGCTCACCTGGAAAAGCTGTTGGACTCACCTGCTCAGGTAGAAGAGGAGCTGCAGCTCTGATTGGTTCATTTCTGTTCTGATGAAATTCACTTTAGTCTTTTACTGATGACTCTCTTGTTTCTGTTCAGAGTCTGTCAGGTTGGTGGGAGGAGACGGTCGCTGTGCAGGAACACTGGAGGTGAAACAGGGAAAGTGGAGACCAGCATTTGGCTATGGCTGGACCCTGAAGAAAGCAGCTGTTGCCTGCAGAGAACTGGACTGTGGCTCTGCTGTTTCTGTAGGACGGAGAAAGGAGTCCAAAGACAGACCTGTGTGGTGGATCAGGTCTGCCTGTATTCATTCTGGATCTGCTCTGAGGGACTGTGTAACATCAGATTCCTCTTCCTACATCCTGGATCTCACCTGTTCAGGTAAGACCATCAGTGACATCATCTGTGACTGTAATGTACCAATGTTGACACACACACACACACACACACACACACACACCTGTAGAGATGCCAGTTCACCTCCTGGCCTCTGCCGAGGTCTCTTGAGCAAGGCACTGAAGCCCTAACTGCTTGGAGCAGTGACTGTGTGGCAGCCTCATCACTCTGATATCTGTCCACTAATGCATGTGTCCAGGTCCTGTGTGTGCATCAGTGGCTGCTGACTCAAACATTGTGGAGGACAGGAGGAAAACCAACCCACAGCCTCATGTTATTTTACACTAGTTTACTAATCTCTACTTTCTTCTGTTCAATAACAATGAAACAGTAAATCAATGGCTTCCAAGAGTTCTTAAAACCAACATCATTTTATTCACTGCTGTTGTTTCCAGATGAACCCTACAGGCCTAATGCAGAAGATAGAGTATTTATCAAGGCTGTGAGATGAAACAAGAAGCAGGGCAGTGTTCAACACATGTGAAGGAAAGTGTGCTGACTGATGATGACTACTTGCTGCTTGAATCAAAGCTGGCCCCATTTCCAATCAGACAGACGAAGCTTACTGTATTTCAGTTCCAATATTTTATTCCAAAGGATGCGTTATCACAAGTCCAGGTTCACCAGGGCTTTTTAAAGTAGTGTGTGCTTTCTATTCAGGGACAGTTGGCAGTTATCCTCAACAAAGTAGTTCAAACATAGCAGCTCTATTTCTCTGCTACAAAGGCAATATGACAGTAATGATCCCAGCACCATTGGTAAACACCCACACTGAAACAGCAGCTGCACTTTCCTTCAGACACTAGGTGTGTCCTGCAGGTGTCGCTGTTGAAGCATTTCAATCACAATTTCAATAATGGATTTTCTCCAAAGCAGAAACTGATTTTATAAATTATCCTGAGATTTAGTCTTTGTTTATTTAAACCACTTATTCTGTTTATAGTTTGATCTCCCTCTTGCCTCTCAGAAACAGAGGATGAGCAACCTCCCTGCCTCTATGGACCAGCATCCTTTGGTGTATGTGTGTGTTTCAGGCCAATGTGTGTAATGTTAAAAAAACAAAAGTGTAAACATTTAAAAAAACGTATTACTTACTGTAAAAACTTCTTTGTCGTCTTTTATCTCTTTTAGATTTTCTGGATAGTTTCTAAACAGATTGTTATTCTGGGTTACAGATCTTCTCAGTAAACTCAGAAAGAAATCAAACTTTTGAACCTGTTTGTGTGGAAAGCAAAGATTGTGGAGAACCTGAGCAGAAGGACCAGAATAGATCAATATGCAGATGATGATGTTGTGTTATTGTCTGAAAACACGTTGAAAGTGTTGAAAAATGGATAACAAGTATTCCAGTGTATTCAGTGTAAATGTGATGGGAACATTGCTGCAGTCTGTGCTGTTATAAAGATGTGTTCTGTTGCTAATGATGAACTTCTGTTGGAATTGTTCTGAGTGCAGTTTGTATCACTGAATTGTTGTTTGATGACATCTTTTTATTTTGTGTCGGCTGTCTTTTATCTCTCTCTATTTTATCTTCTATTATCTGTCCAGACTCTGTCAGGCTGGTGGATGGGACTAGTCTGTGCTCAGGAAGACTGGAGGTGAAGTCTGACCAGTCTAACCAGTGGTGGCTCTCAGTGTGTGAAGCTGACTTTGACCAGCAGGATGCAGAAGTGGTCTGTAGGGAGCTCGGCTGTGGGGCTCCTTCAGTCCTCCAGGGGGCGCTCTATGGAGAAGTGGAGTCTCCAATGTGGACCAAAGAGTTCCAGTGTGGAGGCCATGAGTCTGCTCTCCTGGACTGTAGAAGCTCAGGCTCAGCTAGAAACACCTGCTCACCTGGAAAAGCTGTTGGACTCACCTGCTCAGGTAGAAGAGGAGCTGCAGCTCTGATTGGTTCATTTCTGTTCTGATGAAACTCACTTTATTCTTTTACTGATGACTCTCTTTTTTATGTTCAGAGTCTGTCAGGTTGGAGGGAGGGGGCAGTCGCTGTGCAGGAACACTGGAGCTGAAATATCAGGGAGAATGGAGACCAGCGTTTGGCTCTGACTGGACCCTGAAGAAAGCAGCTGATGTCTGCAGAGAACTGGACTGTGGCTCTGCTGTTTCTGTAGGACGGAGAGAGTCGTCAGACAGACCTGTATGGGATATCTGGTCTTACTGTGTTCGGTCTGGATCTGCTCTGAGGGACTGTGTAACATCAGAGTCCTCTTCCTACATCCTGGATCTCACCTGTTCAGGTAAGCCCATCAGTGACATCATGAGTGACATAATATGACAGTAATGTACTTGTGTTGACACACACACAGAGAGAGAGAGAGAGAGAGAGGGGGGGGAGACCTGTAGAGATCCTGTCATTCCTGTGAGACTCTATCAATGACATCTTTTTATTTTGTGTCTGCTGTCTTTTATCGATCTCTATTTTATCTTCTATTATCCATCCAGACTCTGTCAGACTGGTGGGTGGGTCTAGTCTGTGCTCAGGCAGACTGGAGGTGAAGTCTGACCAGTCTAACCAGTGGTGGTCCTCAGTGTGTGAAGCTGACTTTGACCAGCAGGATGCAGAGGTGGTCTGTAGGGAGCTCGGCTGTGGGGCTCCTTCAGTCCTCCAGGGGGCGCTCTATGGAGAAGTGGAGGCTCCAATGTGGACCAAAGAGTTCCAGTGTGGAGGCCATGAGTCTGCTCTCCTGGACTGTAGAAGCTCAGGCTCAGCTAGAAACACCTGCTCACCTGGAAAAGCTGTTGGACTCACCTGCTCAGGTAGAAGAGGAGCTGCAGCTCTGATTGGTTCATTTCGATGAAACTCACTTTATTCTTTTACTGATGACTCTCTTGTTTCTGTTCAGAGCCTGTCAGGTTGGTGGGAGGAGACAGTCGCTGTGCAGGAACACTGGAACTGAAACATAATGGTGAATGGAGACCAGTGATTGGCTCTGACTGGACCCTGAAGGAAGCAGCTGTTACCTGCAGACGTCTGGACTGTGGCTCGGCTGTTTCTGTAGAATGGAGAAAAGAATTGTCGGACAGATCTGTCTGGATGATCAGCTATGACTGTCTTCCGTCCAGATTTGCTCTGAGGGACTGTGCAAAATCACGGTCCTCTTCTGACATCCTTCATCTCACCTGTTCAGGTAATCCTATCAGTGACATCATCAATTACAGTGTTTCCAGTGTGTTGTGTCTAATGTTATCCAAGACAGTGACATCCTGAAGTGTAGAGTACTGGGCTTGAGTCTGTCTGTCTGTCTGTCTGTCTGTGTGTGTTTGTGTATCTTTTTTTAAAGATAATTTTTTAGCTGCACTTGATGCTGTTGCTTCAATAAAGGAGACTAGAATTTAACAGTTAAAAAGTGCAGATTTTTTATTTTATTGCAGACCGAGATTTATATTTTAACGTCTAAGAAGTCAAAATTGATATGATGATAAATATATTTTTTTAGAAATCAATCAAGATATAAGAAATCAAAGTCACAAAGTGGATGCCACTGCTGGAAATATTGGGCTGCTTATTAAGGATAAGATTAATTTTAATAAAGGGGAGGTTTTTAACTATTTTAATAATTTTTAAACCTTTGCTGCTAGTTTGGTTGTTAAGTTACCCTGTGGATGAAAGAGATACAGTTTGTAATTTGTAAATATTTTGTTCCTGATGAATTTTTGTCCTGTCTGGAAACGGTAAGGGAGAGTCAAACAAATCAAATGACTTGGATCTTTCCAGCCAAATCTTGTGGGATAGTCCCAGTGTAATTTCTAATGTAGTTACTCATATAGTAAATTTATCTGTATCTGTTTACCTGTAAACTGAAAAAAAAATAGTAAATCAGATGTTGGATATTACAGCCAGTATCGATCTTAACAACCATGTCCAAGGTTAGTAGGCAGAACTTCGTAAGGAAAAAATGTTGTATGAGTTTGTTATCAGCCTGGTTTCAGAGCAACATATTCACTGAAACCTGTTTTGTTCACCTCTGTGACTTTATCAGATAAAACTTTGATGAAAGGAAATATGTTGGAATGATCTTGCTTGATTTGAAAAAATCCTTTGACACAGTAAATCAAGTGTTGTCAAAGCTGCAATGCATGGGTTTAAGACATACTGCTGTAATAAATAAAATTCTTATCTTACTGCAAGAACGTCTGTGATGTTGATGGGGTTATATCAGAACCTCACAATATTATATGTGGAGTGCCCCAAGGTTCCGTTTTAGGGTCTCTTTTATTTCTTATGTATATAAATGATGTATGCTGATGACTCCACATTACTTTTAACTGGGAATGATAACAGAGGGACTGAGTACACTCTTAGAAATTTATTAGAATGTGTGGGAGAGTGGCTAATAGATAACAAGCTTTCAGGACATTTGGGTAAAACCGATATTGAAAGTGTCTTGTAATGGAGTCGAAACTGTTACTCAGACAAGTGTAAAGCAGTAGCTCTGTCTCTTCGTTCAAAGTTGAATATTTTCAATGTGAATTAGAATTTTGCCCCATTCATGTCACCCGGTGTAAATTCACTTCTATTTGCGTCTTTGCATTGACGTTGTATGCAGTCTACTCATGGGAGTAATTGTATCTGTGTTTTGTGGGAATTCACCATTAGAAGACTAATTAACATTGAACACAAAAGGGGGGAAAAAGGAGTTCAGGGAATATCATGACCTTTCTACAGTTTGAAGAAAAAGGCAGTCAGGATGTGTGATCAGATAACACAGGCAGTTCACCAACAGATTTTGGGAGAAAACACCTTGTGTGGTTGTTCTGTCACTGACTCTGCTGTTGGTGACCACTGCCCTCTGCTTCTACTGGAGGTACTGACACTGTCTGTGTTTATTAAACTGAACAGAGGACTCATGCTGTCATGTCTCTCCAGGCCTGCAGGAGGCAGAAGCAGGGCAGACAGGAGAACATTGAGCTGGATGATTATAACCTGGGTGTTCCTGCAGCTGGAGGAGGGCTGACTGAAGAGGAAGGTGCTCAGGGAGCAGAGTAGGACCTCCAAGGAGATCCTCTCATATCCACATGGATTTCACGATGGACAACCATCAGCTCAGTCGAGGATTTTACATTTTTATACTCATGTTGGCTGAAATTATTACATAACATTATATCTGTATTACTCTGAAGATGAAAAGACCAAAAACAACAACATGTTACCCTGTCTCTCAATACTTTCTGACTTCCTGTCTGTGGCTCTCAGTTCCAACCCTGTTTGTTCCTACTGAAGACGTAAATCTTAAAAAATATGGTTTCATTAGAAAACTAGACTTGAAAGCAGGAATACTGAGATCCAAACAACACAATTCAAAACCAAAGACACACTGACCCAGGCTGGCTGGGAATTTGGGAGTGTTGGTAATCTTGGAACAGTGTTGGCCAAGTAATGTTAAATATTAAATTAAAATAAAAGTTAAATTAAGTCATATCCACTTAATCTGGTGTTCGGTATACTCGATCAAATTTAGTGACATTTGAACAATTCAATCCTGAGATAAGAGGAAAAACTTCAGGACGACCTGCTGTCGTATTTGTAGATCTGGAGCACAACCAGGGTTGGTGCAACAAATCTGCTGCCATTTGCTGAATCTGTTTAAAAAGATTGCAGTGAATGATGTAAGTCATGTAGTTAGCAGACAAAGTACAATGTCAGAAAGTCAGCAGCTGTTTGACACCAATGTCGCCTTGTTAGTGAGATGTGAACTTTATAATTTTATCACTGTAATGATGTATCACTGCCCTCTACTATGTTAAAAAAAATAATAGCAGTTTCATAAACATTTGCTTATTTCATATGAATTTTGCTTACTTTTTGTTGGAGAAAGAAGGTAAAAGCAGTTTATTAAACTACAAAACTGTAAATTAACTGATTTTAGTGCTTCACAAGAATTTCTTGGTTTTTTTCTCTTAGTTGGGAACATGTTTGATTTGTGTGTAGTACGTTGATCAGTAGTCAAGTGGTTTGATTTCATGATTCAAATGGATTCATTCTATTTGGTCAGAGTTTGGAATCCCAGTAATGGAAAGCTTTAAGAAATTTGTGTCAAAGTCTCTTCAAATAATCAGGCAGCCCTATGATGGATGCCATTGTGTTCAGTAGTGCAGTGGTTACAGTGCTGGTCCACACACCCTCTGTGAACTGCAGAGACGTTCATTTGACTCCTCATTGCTCTGCTTTGAGTGTTTGTGGCAATTCATTTTAGGCAAAATAACTTATGAATCATTAAGAGTAGAAACTTTTTTTAACAATGGGTTCCTTGGAATATGCAAATATGACGGATATAGGCACCAATAAAACACCAGTTTTGATGGCTATGAACCCGTCAGACAAACATTGAATTGAATTGAATTTAAAACGAAAAGAAAAACGAAAAAAGTATTTGTTGGGAAAATGGGTACTAAAAACATTTTTTGGATCTGTAATAGCAGATTCCTTGCAAAACGATACAAAGCTGATAGAGTTCCAGTACTACCAGGATCACTGGCATGTGATGCCCAATATTGAACACTAGATGGTGGTGTAGGTGTGGCTGACAAATGAGACTTGAATGAATGCAAGTTCTCTTACAGCTGGATTACATAAACAGACGCTGCACATTTACAGTTACGGATAGGAGATACAGATATAAAGAAACAGAAGCAAAGCTATTAGGGCTCATTGTTGAACTGATCAAAATGGTGGTGAAAATGGGCCGGGGCATGGCTGCTATAAAACACTGCAGAAAATTCATGTTTAGATATTTAATCAAACAATTAGCACAAGCGTTAAGTTTTCATTATTGTTTGATATTTTGTCACAAAAGAAAAGAAAATAATCAAAGCAGCGCTTCACTGCCCATACCAAACAAGAGTACAATGTATTAACATTGTACTTCATTAAGTGTAAAAGCAGGTTGCATTATTCACTAATCTAATTTTCTTCAGATAGACATCACTATTCTACTGTTTCCAACAATAATAATATTACTTACTTACTCCCTGCCTACAATAATTAGTTACACTACTAACTACTTTTCTGCTACTCCCCACAAAACTGATAATTGTGTCCTTTCAATTAAAATCCAGTTTTGTTTATAAAAATATCAGTAACGTGAATATTTGCAGCTGCTGAATGTTTCTATCTTCCAAACTAGTTTCTTCCACAATTACAAAGTTTTCAACTCGCTAGTTTTTGATCATAAGTAATGTAATATGCAGCTGTCCATGTTAGCACAGTACGCAACTGACTGAATGCTTAAGTAGCTTAAAAATAACATTTATTCCACTAACCACTGTTCTTAACTGAAACCATCATATTTAAACCATTCAAGGAGTTAACTGTCCTTTACACAAATGAACAGTTGTACATATATATATTTACATGTAAAGTGAGTCGTGGAGGTTCATATGTTACTCAGGAATTCATTTTGCTGCTTCATGAAGTTCATTTAAAACAATGTTCCTGTGTGTCTTTAAGTGAGTTGACGGCCACTTATAACAGTAACATTTCTAATGGTCGCAACGTTAAAATAATAACAGTTGTTGCTCGGTTAGCAGAAACATTCTGATGATTACAGAAACAGGCATGTGGGAAACTCACTAACCACCAACACACACACACACACACACACACACACACACACACACACACACACACACACACACCCTCATTAAAACACTGCAACTATCAATTAGCAGGCAGGTGCTGGATTCCTCACAGAGGTGGTCTGGAACGAGCTGTACAGTCAGGAGATCCTCCAAGGACTGGGCCCTCCACGCAGACCCAAAACCCCTTCCCAGTCGTCTAACGCCTTTCAGCTTTGTCTCTTAGAGCGGACCTTTAAATCTCACTTTTTATCAAAACATATTTTAGCCACCTAAAAGAATCAATATGAGTTCAGGCGTACCCCCTTTGGAAAAACTGAAGCGTTTATATCACTCCACCAGACTCTATTGACAATAACATTCATTTCACTTCATAGAACATGGGAGTTGCTTGTGCATAGATGAATATAACGGCTGAAGTTTCCCATTGTCAAGAGCTGTCTGCACACACAGAAGTAACAAAACCCTGCAGTTCCTCTAACGGTCACTAGAGGCTGGCCCCAGCAGTGTCTGAGTAAGGCCCTATATTAAAATGCTCAACTGTACAGCAGAAATAAACATGTTTACAGCCTGGTACAGAAAAACGTTTGGTCTCTGTAGCTAATTTCCCCATTCATGACAACTGCAACTTTTATACAACTCACCTGTTTAAATTACATCAAGGCTTAAAGTTTTGCACGGCCACTTTGAGTGACAGGTGGGTGCTGTCGCAGGCGGCTGTTTTCAGTAACCAGCTTCATTCAGCCTCAGCTCCACCTCTTTGGCCGTTTCTGGATTAGCTGGGAGCCGGTGGAGTCAGGATTATACAGTGTATGATGCTCACCAGTGTTTCTGCAGCAACAGTCAGTGACACCGGCTGACAATGTACACTAGTGTATCATCAGCATATGGATGATAAACTCTACTGTGTTCCTTTATAACATTGCTGAGTGATACCATGAATGAACAAAATAAAAACAAAGGTCCAAGAATTCTTGGAATCCTCCTTGCATTGCAGAAGCTAAAACTCATATGAATACAGTCAGTGATGTTTTCCTCTGTTAATCAGCTGTTGTGTTTGTCTGTGTGTCATTGTGTTAAAGTTATTTTCCACTGTATTATCTCCTCTTTCATCTGAATTAAAGACTCCATTGTCTGCTGGTTGAATAATGGCAGCCTGCGCACACACTGAGATACTGTCTGTAACTCTGAGTGGTCTGATTAACTGATACATGTTAACCATGTTGGATATTTAGATGATTTTTTTCTCCATAAAATATGATCCAGTTTTGTGTGACTTGTGTGACCCAGATACTCAAGTTACACAGCGCCAGATCAGACATACATAGGAAGCTTTCACCCTGTTATAGTCAGTGTAACATCAACGTGATAGTGAAGTTAAGTACAAGAGCACAGACGTTAAGCAATGTACTGCTGTAGACGGGTGCAGCAAATTCCCTTCAGATCGTTTTCTCCAAAGCTACCAGACTCCTCTGACAAAACCAATAATTTTACCTCAAAGAACTCAGGTGTTGCTGGTCCAGATCAGAACAAACATGTTAAAACGCCAAAGTCACACAATATTACAAAGTAATTTACAAATCAAAGTTGCACTGGACCAGAAACTCACGATGGATGTAAGTCAGCACAAGAAATATCAGACATGAGAAATGTTTTTCATTTCATCAGACATTTTAAAGACAAATAAAAGAGAAAAAAGGAGTTCAAAATTACATTTCCTCACATGGATCAATGATACAAATCATCAGTAGACACTTTTTTTTGTGGTGGTTGGGTGGGGGGGGGGGCTGCTATTAGAGAATTCCTTATAGAAATCAATAAAGCATTACATTACTGAGAGTGTGTGTGTGTGTGCAGGCTGATGGCCAGTACTGATCTGATCAATGCTGTTGGGCGGACAGCTCTTATCGCCACGGTAACCCACAGCAGCCCATAATGCTGCAGCTGATCGGCCGCCCGTCCATCCTGGAAAAAAATGAAATAAAATGGGTCTAAAAATAGACCGGCGCTGACTGTCAGCCAATCAGAGAAGAGGTGAGGCAGCCAAGGGTGTGTCTGAGAGAGTGTGTGTGTGTGTGTGTGTGTGTGTGTGTTTTGCTGAGTCACAGCGAAGACTCTTCCTCTCTCACTTCCTCCGTGGTGTCCTCCACCCTCTCGGCGGCCATGTTATCGCGTTTTGTCGAGGGTACGCAGAAATATTCAAATACACTAAACAAGCTGTGAGAACATAAAGAGTCTGTAAAGAGGAGACTCGTGGGTATCCATAGAATCCATTTTCATTCAGATATCTTGAGGTCAGAGGTCAAGGGATCCCTTTGGCCTGGCAACTAACTTTGAGCGTTGTTCAGCCCCGTTCCTGACATGCTAACATAACATGGTTGGTACCGATGGATGTGTTAAGTCACGTAGTCTCATATGATACCAGTATCGTCACTACAGCCTCTGAGTGGAGGAGGGAAGGATAATGTGGAGGCCAATCAAATACTAACATTACAGCAGCCTGTCTTACAGTGCCTTATATTCCTGTGTTTAGAGATGTTTTTATTGTATTTCTGTCTCTTTAGATGGAGATATGATGTGAGTGATGTGAATTTCCACTCCTCGTTGGAGAGCACGCACACTCTCTCCAGTTTCGGGGCAGGAACCAAGGGCCCTGTTATCACATCCACACGGCCCTCCATGTACACGCTGACCGACAGCTGCTGTTCACTGGAGGAGGTGAGGCAGTCCGACCCGAGACAGCTGCTGTTCACTGGAGGAGGTGAGTCCGACCCGAGGCTGCACCGCGTATATAATGGACAAAGCGCCAAAGTGTCTTAAACCTGCATTCTATGTAATAGTCAGCAGGGGGGCAGCTTCATTAACCCATATGATGTTTATGGTGTGAAGGGAGGGGGCATTTTTAAAGACTGAGGGGACAGGAGATTAATGCAATATGTTGTATAAATACGTAAATATATATGTTGTTATATAAAGTAAATTCTCTGTATTCTGTATATTGAATTGTATACAGTATAATAATCAGTCATCTGTCTGTCCCGCCTCCGACCGGGCAGAGAGGCCAATCACAGCCAGCCCCTCCCTTGACATGACCCTCTTCCTCCTCTCTTTCCCTTTCATCCACTTGTTTCTTCTTCTTTTCTCTTTGCACCAGTCTATCTCGACCTCTCTCCACCACTTTCCTCTCTCTCTCTCTCTCTCTCTCTCTCTCTCTCTCTCTCTCTCTGTTTCTGTCTCTCTCTCGGTCTCCCGGTCTCTCTCTCTCTCTCTCTCTCTCTGTCTCTCTCTCTCTTCCTCTCTCTGTCTCTCTGTCTCTCTCTCTCTCCCTCTGTCTCTCTCTCTCTCTCTCTCTCTCTATCTCTCTCCACTGCACAACAGTCCCGTGTTGCTTCTACATATCACACTCTTTCTCTCTCTCTCTCTCTCTCTCTCTCTCTTTCTCCCTTTCTTTCTCTCACGTGCCCTCACTCCACCCCTTCTCTCTCCCTCTTTCGTCCATTAGCAGGAAGAGCGAGACGAGGCGGCTGACGGCAGACGGAGCAGAAGCAGCAGCAGCAGCAGCAGCAGAAGAAGGAGAAGAAGAAGAAGGTGAATAAAGAGAGAAGGAGGAGCAGAGAGCAAACAACTGAATAAGAAGAGAGGAGAAGCAAAGCATCATGGACGCTCTGAAGAAGGGATTCTCCATGGCGAAGGATGGAGTGGTGGCCGCCGCCGAGAAGACGAAGGCCGGAGTGGGGGAGGCCGCGGCCAAGACCAAGGAGGGGGTCATCTACGTCGGTGAGAGGGCAGATGGATGGGTGGATGGATGGATGGAAGAGAAGTGAAATTGAACAACAAACTAAACATTCAGTTTTAGGGATTTGTAGTTTTTTGTGGTGGAAAGTGAGACAGAGAAGGGTTAGGGTTAGGGTTGGTAATGGCACTGAGGGGGGAGGGAGGGATGAAGGGAGCGGACAGTGGGAGTGAAAGAGGACTAAAAGCAGAAATTGGTAATGAAAAAGTAGTTTTTTGGTGGGAAGTGAAGAAGGGATGATGAGGGATGGAAAGAGGGATGGAGGGAGTGAAAGGTGGAGGACAAGAGGCTGAAGCTTAAAATATTCAAAGTGCGATTCATCCTGACATCTGAAGATGAGGAGGTCGCAGAGAGAGAGGAGGAACAGAGGCAGTAGAAGAATAAAGGGCAGAAAGAAGGGATGAATGGAATAAAAGAGAAGGAGAAGAAAGCAAACATTACATGGTGGAAAGGGAAAGGTGGGGATGGATAAAGACAGGGACAGAAGCTGAATTTCAATGAAGTGAAATTCATCAGGACATTGTGCGTTAAATTTTAAGATGCAGCAGAACAAGAGAAGAATGAATGATGGAAGGTAGGAAATGAACAAATAACAGATAATATCAAATGTCTTCACTTTAAATTTTCAAAAACCAAAAACAGGCTGAACAGAAAAAAACAGCCTCTAAAATCCTGCTGGGACTCAGTTTTTATTCAAAATGAATCTCAGAGCAAAAACTGACTCACCATCACCCTGAAACATGACACAGCAATAATTAATAACATCTACGGGATCTGAAACATGACGCAGCGTTAGTAATTATATTTATTTCCTGTGCAGACGGTGTAAATAAAGCCAGAACCTGTCCTCTGATCCACTGACATAGAACTTGGTTAAAGATCATTGTTGCATCAGAACTTTAGGAACCCTGTGAAGAAACCTTTCAACAGAAATGTCTCAATGTGTTTAGTGCCAAGGAGGAAATTATTTTTTTACCACAAATGCTGTACAGTCCCACTGTTATTACAGACAGTGAACTAACCACAAACACTGTCCCACTGTTATAACAGACAGTGAACTAACCACAAACACTGTCTCACTGTTATAACAGACAGTGAACTAACCACAGACACTGTCTCACTGTTATTACAGACACTGTCCCACTGTTATAACAGACAGTGAACTAACCACAGACACTGTCTCACTGTTATTACAGACACTGTCCCACTGTTATTACAGACAGTGAACTAACCACAGACACTGTCCCACTGTTATTACAGACAGTGAACTAACCACAGACACTGTCCCACTTTTATAACAGACAGTGAACTAACCACAGACACTGTCTCACTGTTATTACAGACAGTGAACTAACCACAGACACTGTCCCACTGTTATTACAGACAGTGAACTCACCTCTTCATTAAAGACCATTAAAAACATAACTATGAATTAATATCGAATGGTAGATTGCTTTTAAAAAGAAAAAGCATCCTGAATTTGAACATGTGAAACCAACCACACAACAAAGTGTCTTTCCAGGTCAGATTTTTGTTGTTATAATCTTTTTTTTACCACCAGCAGGTAAAACTCTAAAGTTTATTGTTACATAATCTGAAGGGTTTATTCTCTCTCTTCCATTTTGGGGCATTTCAGACTCTGTTGGCAGAGTGGACGATCCCATGTGAACTCTGGACATTTGCCAAAGACTAAAACGTACTAATTGTTTATTGATTGTAACCGCACTGACACACAGTCGGACTGGGCGGAAAGAAAAAGACAGAAAGACGCATTAGAGGAGATAAAAACCTGTGGGTTCATTAAATATGCACCATATCTGGTTGTGAGCCTCCTTCCTGTAACTGCTGTCATGTAGCACAAACATCGGTTCAAACACGCTGTGTGAATTACAGACTGTGTCCTCTCACACAAAGACTGTTCAGTCTGATCCGTCACATGTCTGAGCAGCATGACGCCCACTGGGATCCCTCTGGATCTGGATCTGGACCAAACGCCAACAAACACCACGGCTGAGACTGGAAGTCCACTAGTCCATGTTCACTAGATAAAGACACTCAGTGACACCACATTGTCCAATCAGCATAAAGACAGAGGAATAATACTTTATTCTAATACTACATTTCAGTTCTTTATACTCCACTACATGTGTCAGATTATTATAAAACATTCAACAATCAGCTGATAAATGATGATATCTGTACTTTCTACTGCTTTCATTTTCAAAACAGGCTCCTAATTTTAGTTTTGATGAAGCAGTTCCTCTTACAGCCACTAGAGGCTGGCTCCAGCAGTGACTCAGTCTCACTATAATAAAATGTCCAACAGCAGAAACAAACATGTTTACAGCCTTTTGGTTTCTATAGATAATATTTCCTGTACTTCCCTTTAAATCAAATTAAGGATTAAAGTTATAAATAATTAAGGGGTGTGGCTGCTTTGAGTGACAGGTGAGCTAATAGAAAAGTATCAGAAGAACACAGAATTTGTCAAAAGGAAGCCTATTAGGTAGTTAAGATTGTTTAAAATGGAAAAAATATATACTTTAAAAGTAGATACACAGACAGAAAATGTTATAAAAAGTTTCCAAAAATATCAGAAAAACTTATTCTCTGAATTATTTAATAATCTGCTCAAAATTCATTGAAATCTTTGTTTTTACACAAACTTCCTGCAGTTATTGTGTTCACTGTTTACAGTTTATCAGCTGTTCTCTGCTATTATTGTTATACATTGAATATAATATGAAATATTCATAAAATATGTCACTTATTCAGGCGTCGTCAGTTAATTAAGTGATAGAAAATGGGGCCCTTAAGGAGAAAGGTTGGGAACCACTGACTTACAGCAGCAACAGGGAGCTTTTATTTTGTGCTGATTCTGGCGGCCCCTGTGGACAACAGTGGTAGTGTTTCTACCGCCTCATTTCATTGACTTCAAGGGGAATCCAACCAGGTTGCAGACAGTAATAATAACTATACAGAAACATCCAATCTGCTCTCTGGTTGTTTCTGTAGCTTATCTAGAGGCTTCAGTGTTAAACTGAGCCTGATTACAACCATAAACTCACTGTAGTATGAAACAATAGGATCCTCCACTGTGCTATTACTGTTCTTACTGTAGAGGAACCGCTGCTCGCTGTAAACTGGGTGACACCAATAAATAATTCAGAGAGCAGCTGAGCTCCGTTTGTCTCTGCAGAGGAAACCAGGTCAGATTCACGCTCACACTGCTGCTAATACAAAGAGTTTGTAGGTATAAACACCACAAGGCTGTTAATGAGGATTATTATTGAAGCCCATTTCTGCCAATGTCATTAAAGTCATTGCAATGAGAACTTCTTTCAAAATAATGACATTCAGAGGTGGGGTATTTACTGACTACTTTTATGTCGTAGAACAAAACGTGAAAATCAACCACAGACCTTATTTCATGCATTAAAAGCACATTGAATTCAATGAGCGTGGGCTAAAACTCAGTTCCAGGCAACACTTCCTGGATTTCTATCAAATTAAAAAATAAAAGAATTAAGTTCTGGGAGGCTTTTACTTGAAACATACGGAGGTAAAGGGTTGAGCTTCTTTCCAAGCAGCTTAAAGGGGGAATAACAGGAGAGAGTCAGTGAGTGAAAACAGTGTTATTGTTAAAAAGAGAAAATGTTGTTGAGTGTGTGTGACTTGTATTGATGGCATTAGTGCTGCGGAAATAGATATTACACTGAAGTGATAGAAACAGGAAGCACTATAACATCATTAAATATTCTTATTAACAGGGGAATTAGAAATAAAGGCCCACTCTAATATAAGACAGTTTCACAACGCTGCAGTCATATAAACAATAAAGAGGTTCTCCAAACTAAAACATATAAACTGAATTATAATGCTGACACAGAGCGGACAGTTCGGGACATCTCTATAAAACCAGAGTTAACTTCCTCCAATCAGAGGAGGGCGGCCCGCCTCCCCCAGCCTCTGCTCTGAAACCGTGGCGCTCTTTTTTTAAATGTTTACTTTTTTAAATGTTTACTTTTTAAATGTTTACTTTTTTAAATGTTTACATTTTTTAAATGTTTACCTCACAGGAGGTTATGCTAGCTTTTGCTAACCCTATACTTAGTATTTTCATATTGTGGCGCAGTGGTTCGGACTTTAGACGCTGTAGAAGCACCGGACTGCGATCTTTACCTCGATCCCACACAGACACACACACAAACATACAGAGTTAGCCTCTCTTAGCCCCTAGCTTAGCTTCAACACAGCCACTAGTTGAGGGTCAATATACTGGAAATGTTCATTTCAGCAACCACGTTTTTCTCTCTGTCTCTTTTCCAGGAAACAAGACGATGGAGGGAGTGGTGACCGGTGTTAACACAGGTAGACAAACTGCTGCACGACAAACTAACAAAACTAACAAAACAAAAATGACATATGATGAGGCCAAGCTTACTACACTGAACGAAATGCTACTGCGCATGAGATATATGTGTGTATATACAGAGAGACAATGTTATTAGCTCTACTGTCAGAAATGTAACATGATATTTATAGGTATGTTTTCATAATCACCTGAAAATATAAAAAGGTGAAATATAAATGAACTATCAGCGGGCGGACTGTTAAAGTTTCAGTAAGTATAAATATAACAATAGAAACATTTGTCACATATGTTGCTGAGCATTATTTTCTACTTCCTGTTTCCTGTCATCTAGTTTCCCAGAAGACGAACGAGCAGGCCAACGTCGTTGCCGACACCGCGGTTGCCGGGGCCAACGAGGTTGCCCAGGCGACGGTGGACGGGGTCGAGAATGCGGCGGTGGCGAGCGGATTCATCAGGGCGGTGAGTGATGTCATATCACATGACCCCCAATCCAGGCTGGTGGACATAAACTAAAATCAATTATTATATTTTCCTCTGCCTCTGTCGTTGTACACTAATTAATAATAAACGCTGCGTTGTGTTGATAACTTTAATTTTTTGTCTCCATCATAAATCTCTGGTGATTTGCTGGGAACAGGAGGAGGCGGGACCAGTGGCTGAGGAGGTGCCTGATTGGTCGAGGGGGGGTTGAGTGATTGCATGGCATGATGCTCGTTGCCTGATAAGACTTTCTGACTTTTCAGGACTCACAGATGCATAACTCTAACATTTCTGCTGCTTTTCGGGTTCGTTATATCGTCCACATTACAGGGAAACCTCTGCAGGAATTAATGTATATTGTCATGGGTAATGTTATTTCAGATTGAGACGGTGCGTGCCTCATCAACACTAGTGGTTGTAGTGACTATCTTATGCTTCAAATAAGTACGTAAGTAAATAAATAAGTATAATTTGTGGCAATGGTAATAAGAAAAAGAAGAAGAAGAAATAACTTTATATAGTTACTAAAACTGAAAAAGGAAACACATGACAAAGTTAGATTTAAAAAAATATATATATTTTGAAATGTTTTGTAGTAGTAAGGCTAAAACAAATTTTAACTTCCAACGTTTATAGATGTTACACTCTGTATCAACCAGTGTTGGGGAATTACTTTTAAAGCTTTGCAAGCTACTATTCCTTTACACTACAGAAACCTCTTTTATATGACTTCCATTTGCATTGTAGATGGATGAATGGTTTTGTTTGAATGTGCGAATACGAGGCTTTCCACTCAAAGATTTAAAAAACTAACAAAGCATGAAAAAAAAATAAAAGAAATCTGCATGGTATGAAAAAATAACTTTGTTTCCTCTGCTAAAAACCATTTTATGTTCATCGTTATGCTGATGACGCCTTTCTTTACTCCACCAAGAACAACTGCACCCTTTAGAGAAAGAATGGAAAGTTTACATCTTTGTCACTTTGGCGAAGTGGGCGTCGGCCAACAGTGACAAACACTGAACGCTGTAAAATAACTGACAATCATATTTAGAATAACGTTTCTATCTGCAATGATCCTATATTTTATTTGGACCGTTAGCTCCATGCTAATAACTAGCTTGCCGTTTACAAATCAGCCATCAGCCAACACCACGAAGCGACCAACACCAGACCCACAATGCAACGCCAAGATACAGCCAGCCGGACAACCAAAGCTTAGCTTAGCTACAGTTAGCTAGCTGGATGCCTCTGCCTCGCATCACACTTTGCTAGTAGAAAGTGTTAGCTTTGTACTGTTAGCATAATTTATTGTTGGTTGTTGGTCAGAATACATAAGTTAATATCATGGATCACGTTAGCTGGGGAAGTAATTTGTCAAGCTAACATTAGCCAACTAACATATCTATTGAGATAGTATTCCACTGGCAAAAACATTAGCGAGCAAGCTAAGGTTAGCTCGCCCACTGCAACCCAACAATGCTGAATAATGTTATCAGAACTAGCTTCCCTGCAACGGCAGCCAGATCAGCCCCAGTAGTCTAGAGGGAGCTAGCTGACAGTATGTTGCTACATTAGCTAGCTAGAAATTTGTACATGCTAGCAAAGAAGCTAACATTATCCACCTAAAAGCACATTCAGACAGCATCTTCCACAAGCTTTGCAGTAATGTTAGCTTTGACTTTGGCCTCTGTGGTGTTGTGGGTGTCGGTCGTTTGTAGACGTTAGTGGACTTTATTTATAAGATTATTATTATTATTGATTATTACCATAACACTTGGCTAGTGGTCTTTTCTTGATGTCCTGAAAAGTATAGCAACAAGACAAATAAATATTAGGTTGGAAATAAGTTGCAAATTCAGTGAAACCAAATCACCTTGAACGTTGTAAACGATGACTAACATGGTTGTTTCTTTCAGCTTAGCTCATCTTTGGCTTCATCTCACTTCTCAACAGAAATACTTCTCCATAGGGGGCGCTATGGTTTTATCCTTCAGTATTTGCTGCTGCAGTACCATTATACAGATATAAAGTTACACTTCTCCCACAGTAAAAGGTGTAAATTATTGTTAAATTGTTCAATCAGAAGAGACTAGATTGAAAAGTAATTTTTGGCAATTTTGTGGGTAAAATGAAACCTATTTCTAAGAAATAATATTAACTCAAGTTTCACTTATTAATGAAATCTGAAGGCATGGGATTAAGCTCTTATAAGCGGACGCTAAGTTTTTGGTATTTTGTCAAACTATTTACGTCGACAAGATAAACTTTCACACTAAAGGAAATCTCATGATTTCTTTGTTGTGATTGCACAACAGACATTTCTGACGACATTTTAACTCCTCTAAGCAGGTGTAAAAAAAAAAAATCACAGGTGTAACTAATAATAAATCATAAAAGTGGCTTCACTCATCCCAACTTGTCAACTGGAAAGGTTAAAAAAGTGAGGTCTTTGATTAAATGTAAATGTCTTGGTCCCATCAGTCAGTGGTCACGTCCCAAATCAGATTCATCATCAGCTCAGCAGACATAATGTGTGTATTATCCTTCCGGTCTGTCAGTGAACGGACAATATCTGGAACCTGGGACTCAAACACATAAATGGACTGCAGTCATTATGCATTTTATCAGTTGCACCTGTTCTGGGAGAAATGTAGCTTTGTACATGGATGGATTTGTATAGAGGTGGAGTTTGGAGGCCGTTGTGACCTCTGCTGTGTCTCTCCTGCAGACTGACATTCCAAAACCAGAAGCAGGGGGAGAACAGACCGAACAGGCTGCACAGTAGGTGAGAAAACTACACAACATAAAACAACATTTTGTTCTGTAGTTTTTATCAAACAGGAGGAAATTGTGCTTTTCAGTTTTGTTTAAACCACATTGCTCGAGTGGGCATTTGGGGCGACTGGACGGTATACTCTGAAAAACTACATAATTTATATTTATGAAGAAAAAGAATAACGAGTAAAAGAGTGAGGATAATGTGTGATTCATTGGTGTTAAATATAATTTTATATTTATTTACTTACATAACTAAAACTTATGAAATGAAGATAGTATTATTATTCATAATATGATTATTGGTACTATTATCAATCAAATAGACAGTACAGACCTCTGCCCTGTATCTACAGCACTGACCTCTGCCTTGTATCTACAGTACAGACCTCTGGCCTGTATTTACAGCATTGACCAATATATTATTATTTGGATCAAATAAACAGTACAGTAGCTTCCCCATGTTGGGCTGTTCATCCTCCTTCAACGCAATGCAGTTTAGCGTCAACTTTCACAGACTTATTCAGAAATTGTCTATTTGTTATATTTTTGTTAGGCTGCTCGATCAAAACAACCCCAATGAAAATCCTCCTCCCATTTGTTTTCTGTTTCTCTCTCAGACTTTCGTCCTTGCCGTCCTGCAGTCACTCCCTGTTTCTTCCTGTCCAGTGAGGAACGACAGAAAAGGAACCTTTACATTTTAGCCGTCGCTCAGCCCTTTGACCTTTGACCTCTGATCCTCCCTAACCCCTAAAAGATTCTTCATCCACAGTGTGCAACTAAACCTCATTAACCAATAGAAACCATCCTCATCGTCCCTCCTGTTGCCATGGTTACACTGCCTCTTACTCCACTCATCGTACACACACTGATGTCAGTTTTTAACACTCAGAAATGGATCTAATATGCAAAAACACTCTCAGCTGATTGGTCAGTGTGAGATGACATCACCCAAGCCGAGCGTTCACATTTGATCCCACCAATATCATACAAGCTCCGCCCCTCCTGTCAATCACCAGGCTGACTCCACCCCCTGACAGACAGACAACCTTTTAAATGCATGTTGCTTTACTGAGACACTTAAAATACTAGAAAACACACACACACACACACACACACACACACACACACACACACACACACACATCCACCCCCGGCCAGGTTCGCCTTTAACAGGCAGTTCCCCGTCGCCAAGTGCGCCATGGGGACGTGGGTCTCGTAATTAATGTAAAGAGTTCGGTCAGACCGCCATTGAAAAGGTCCGAGATAACCGTAGAATGGCGCTAACAAATAAATAATAATGAATAATTAATAATCCTTCCTGTAGTTCACACACACACTTCACACACCGCAGTCTGTGTTGCTAATATTAACTGAGTTCTTCTTTTACAAAACAACAGAAGTTAAATAAAAATAAGTTTGAAAACCACCTCTTTGTTTCTTCTTCACTGGTTCACTGTTAAATTAAAATAGAATAACATTCTTATTTATTGTTAACACTGATGTTAGTGTGTGCGTTTCATGACGCACAAAAACAAAATACCACGAAATTCAAACAAATATCAAGTATTAACATATATGTAAGACGATTTAATTTAGTGTATTATAATTGGTGAAATAGTGTGAATAAAGTGGACAGACCACAAGAGTTACATGTACGTATGTACGGAGTAAAGAGTATCGCATGTGGAAAAATATTAATGTTGTATTAATAATAAAATATATGATGTAAAAATATTGTTATAACAATACTGTAAAAGAATAATATACTACTATAATAAGCATTATAATAATCAGTATTGCTGTATAAATGTAATAAATACATTTTATTCTTATATGTCAAGTCAACTATGTGGCTTCCTGGAGGATAATAATGCTCAAAGTACAAACAATTATTGCTAACTCACATCTAAATGAGCGTACTGAAGGAACATACTGCAGACAGGTCTGATACAGATTCATTCATGACGGACGGTTTCTGTCGGGACCTGGTCTGTAGAAACTGGGTCAGTCTGATTTATTTACACCTTCTCCACATCTTCACACTCCACTGCTCTGATCCTGCTCTTTCTTTCAAACACACGCACACTTCATGTATGCAAAGCTTCATGTGAAAAGAAAATATTTAAATATATCAAGAGAAAATATGTTCTCACATAAAGGCCACAGTAATTAAATCTGTAAAATGTTTTCATTAAACAGTAATAATAATTAATAATCTATAATTATTAAACAGTGTATAAACTGTAGCGCTATATTCTATATGGAGTTGATTAAATCAATAATCTACCTGCCTATTGGTAGTTAATTGAGTTATTTGAACATATGTGGACGTATTAAAAGAGAAAGGAGACTCATTCAGTCCTGAGATTTCTCTCATGTATTAATTATTATAAGTCGTATTCTGAATTGGGGGTAAAAAGGTTGAGAATTGAATTTGATGGCTGTTTATTAAACTCTGTCTATTCACTGCCTAGATATTTTCAAAAAGTATCCAAAATTACAATAAAACAACCAAAATGCACTTTAGCAGTTATATAAACAGCAGCCTGTGAATGTAGAGAGAGAATGCTCAGTGTGTAATAACACTTTTAAACACAGGGTGGCAGCACTGAGCCAATAAACAGACAGCAAACAAGCACATGAACTTGGTATGCATTTAAATAATCACTACTTCAGTAGGACTGTATTCAGTATTCAGAAGTATATACTTTACTGTTACAAGTAAAAACGTCTGCATGGAACAGGAAACCCTTTAAATTGTATTATTTATCATTTGTTTATTAGCAGCAGCAGAAGCTTTATTTCCTGTTCAGCAGCAACTAACAACAACTGGCAACCAAAATGATGTGACAATGCTCCGTTTTCTGCCAAATAACATCAAAATATGAGAAGTAACAGAGAACTCCAGAAGAGCTACAGTGTGAACAGTGTGGGACCAGGAAGCAGAGCTGCTGTCTTACACACTTCTCTGCGTTTTCTTTAAAACAGTCACCCACCCAAAACCCCATAGAGACTGTGTCTGTCCCCGGTTATTTAAAGAAATAAAACCAAGAGGAGTTCAACAGGGACTTTTACTAATGTAAACTTAGATATATATTTAGACTGTTTTTCTGCTATCGATCTTCATCAGTTAACTTTTTTAATTAAGCAGTAATTTTATGACAGTTACAGATTTTTCATGTTATTTTCAATTAGACATGTAAATTCACAGGATACTTTTTAAACTGTATTAATATTTCCATGTATTTAAAATAAATATAAAAAACCTGTAAACCTGCAGATTATTTTACAGTTTAGACTTTCAAACAATTTATTACAACTTGAGGTACAAACTGGGTGATTTAATGTTTCAGTCAAACTAATCATCAATGAGCTGGATGAGCTACAGAATATCTGCTCATATATCACATCATCAATACAGTCTTCCATCAATATGAAATCATCCAGCTTTTAATGCATTTGGACATGAACCCGTTATTAAATCATCACCACAGTTGATTCAATCACTTCCCAGCTCGCGCTTACGCTGACATTTTATTACAAAGACGTGTGACTGATGAATCTGTACATTTTACGTGTTGTTGAATCGAGATTTAGAAAGTAAAAGAACCAATAAAGGAAATCAAAGACAGCCTGTGTGTATAAAACTGCTCATATGTCAGATAAACCTGCAGAAATCAAGTCATTAGCATAGCATGAGGTAACATCAGCTAGCTCTCAATAGCTTCTTTACATGCTTTGTGGCTTTTCGCTCAAAATACAAATAAGTAATCAATCAATAAATATCCAGTGTTATGCTAGCTGTCTGTAGCAAGCCAAGCTAATGTATGCAAGCTATGTTCAATATCTGAAGTTAAGGAATAGTTGAACAATTTCATAAATATTAAATACTAGTTCATTTAAGTACACACTCCTGATGAGGTTAGCTTAGCTTGATGTGGGCTTCATTGATAACTGGAAGCCTTTTTGGGGAAAACCTGGTCTGATTAGGAGAGACGGCATCCATCCCACTTTGGATGGAGCGGCTCTCTTATCTAGAAATATGGCGAAGTTTATTTCTAAAACCTGACAGTCCAGAGTTGGGACCAGGAAGCAGAGCTGCTGTCTTACACACTTCTCTGCGCTTTCTTTAGAACAGTCACCCACCCAAAACCCCATAGAGACTGTGTCTGTCCCCCGACCACCTAAATTATTTAAAGAAATAAAAACAAGAGGAGTTCAACATAACATTTTTAATAAAAATTAAAACCAACTCCTCAGTAGCACAAAATAAGAGAATGAAATGTGGGCTGTTAAATATCAGGTCTCTGTCCTCTAAAGCTGTTTTAGTGAATGAATTAATATCAGATTATGATATTGATTTACTTTGTCTTACTGAGACCTGGTTGTCCCACGAGGAGTATGTTAGCCTAAATGAATCCACCCCCCCCAGTCATATTAATACTCATATTAATACTCATTAATACCCTAAACTAAATTATAATTCATTTGAAAGCCTTGTTCTTAGTCTTTCTCACCCAAACTGGAAAACACTGCAGCCAGTTCTATTTGTTATAGTGTACCGCGCTCCTGGACCGTACTCTGATTTTATATCTGAATTCTCAGAGTTTTTATCAAGTTTAGTCCTTAAATCAGATAAAGTAATTATTGTAGGTGATTTTAATATTCATGTGGATGTTAACAATGACAGCCTTAGTAATGCATTTATATCATTAATAGACTCAATTGGCTTCTGTCAAAGTGTAAATAAACCAACTCATTGTTTTAATCACACTCTTGACCTTGTTCTATCATATGGCATTGATATTGAACATTTAATAGTCTTCCCACATAATCCTTTCCTATCTGACCATTATTTAATAACTTTTGAATTCATACTATTAGATTATAAGCCATTAGGCAAAACTTCCTACAGCAGATGTCTATCTGACAGTGCTGTAGCTAAATTTAAGGAGGAGATTCCTTCAGTGTTTAATTCAATGCCATGTCTGAATTTAACAGAATCCTATAACGACTTTAGTCCCTCCGAAATTGATAATCTTGTCGATAGTGCTGCAGGCTCACTACGATCAACATTAGACTCTATCGCTCCTATAAAAAGGAAATTATTAAAACATAGGAGACTAGCACCTTGGTATAACCACCAAACCCGCCAGTTAAAACAAATAGCTAGGAAATCTGAAAGGAAATGGCGCTCTTCCAAATTATCAGAATATCGCTCAATTTGGCATGATAATCTTAAAACTTATAGAAAGGCCCTCCGTAATGCCAGAGGAGCCTATTACTCAGCACTAATAGAAGAAAATAAGAATAACCCTAGGTTCCTCTTCAGCACTGTAGCCAGGCTGACAGAGAGTCACAGCTCTATTGAGCCACATATCCCCATAAACTTAAGTAGCAATGACTTCATGAGCTTCTTCTATAATAAAATTATTACTATTAGAGAGAAAATTCATCACCAACTGCCATCAACAGTTATCAGTGGCTCTCCAAGTTCAGGGACTTTTGCTAATGTAAACTTAGATATATATTTAGACTGTTTTTCTGCTATCGATCTTCATCAGTTAACTTCAATCATTTCTTCATCGAAGCCATCAACCTGTCTATTAGACCCGATCCCAACTAGGCTGCTTAAAGAAGTTGTTCCCTTAATTGGCACTTCTTTACTGGATATGATTAATCTTTCTTTATTATCAGGATATGTACCACAGTCCTTTAAAGTAGCTGTAATTAAACCCCTTCTTAAAAAGTCCACTCTTGACCCAGGGGTTTTAGCCAACTATAGACCGATTTCTAACCTCCCCTTCCTCTCTAAGATTCTGGAGAAAGTAGTCACCAAAGAGTTGTGTGACTTTTTACATAACAATAGTTTATTTGAGGATTTTCAGTCAGGATTTAGAGTTCATCATAGCACAGAGACAGCTCTGGTTAAAGTTAATAATGACCTTCTGATTGCTTCTGACAATGGACTTGTCTCTGTACTTGTATTATTAGATCTTAGTGCTGCATTTGACACCATTGACCATGATATTCTTTTACAGAGACTTGAGCATCAAATTGGCATTAAAGGGACCACACTAAGCTGGTTTAGGTCATATTTATCGGATTGTTCGCAGTTTGTACATGTTAACGATGAATCTTCAATAAATACTACAGTTAGTCATGGAGTTCCACAAGGTTCTGTACTTGGACCAATACTATTTACTTTATATATGCTCCCTTTAGGTAACATTATTAGGAATCACTCCATTAACTTTCACTGTTATGCAGATGATACGCAGTTATATCTATCAATCGATTAAGCCTGATGAAATTAATCAATTATCTAAATTACAAACATGTCTTAAGGACATAAAATCCTGGATGAGCTGCAATTTTCTGATGTTAAACTAAAAAAAAAAAAAAATTCTTGTTCTTAGCCCCAAAAACCTTAGAGACTCACTGTCTAAAGATATAGTTACTCTAGATGGCATTACCTTGGCCTCTAGCACCACTGTCAGGAATCTTGGAGTTATCTTTGATCAGGATTTGTCATTTAACTCCCACATAAAGCAGACCTCTAGGACTGCCTTCTTTCATTCACGTAATATTACGAAAATTAGACACATACTATCACAGACAGATGCAGAAAAACTAATCCATGCATTTGTTACTTCAAGGCTGGATTACTGCAACTCTTTATTATCAGGTTGCCCCAATAAGTCCATTAAAACGCTCCAATTAATTCAGAACACTGCAGCACGAGTACTGACAGGAACTAGAAAAAGAGATCACATCTCTCCTGTACTAGCTTCTCTGCACTGGCTCCCTGTAAAATGTAGAATAGAATTTAAAATTCTCCTCCTCACCTATAAAGCTCTTCATGGTCAGGCCCCTTCATATCTTAAAGAGCTCATAGTACCCTATTACCCCTCTAGAACACTATGTTCTCTGAATGCTGGGCTACTTATGGTTCCTATAGTCTCTAAAAGTAGAACAGGAGCCAGAGCCTTCAGTTACCAAGCTCCTCTCCTGTGGAACCAGCTTCCAGTTGTGGTTCGGGAGGCAGACACCCTCACCACATTCAAGAGTAGGCTTAAGACATTCCTCTTTGATAAAGCTTATAGTTAGGGCTGGATCAGGTGAGTCCTGAAACATCCCTTAGTTATGCTGCTATAGGCCTAGACTGTCGGGGGATTTCCCATGGTGCACTGAGCTCCTCTCTTCCTCTCTCTTTCTGCACTCATTCATGTCCCATTAATGCATGTTACTAACTCCACTTCTTCCCCGGAGTTCTTGTGCTTTCTCGTCTCGCAGGTTCTCATGGATCCTGGTGGAGCCTCCTGCCATGGTCCTGCTAGATTGCCATTGCCAATACTGTTGTTGCTGTGCACCTGTCTGTCTGTCTGTCTCTCTCTCTCTGCCTCTCTCTCTCTCTCTCTCTCTCTCTCTCTCTCTCTCTTTCTCTCTCTCTCACCCCAACTGGTCGAGACAGACAACCACCCACCTAGAGCCGGAGGATCTGTCCTAGGTTTCTGCCTTTTAACAGGCAGTTTTTCCTTGCCCTTGTCTCCAAGTGCTTGCTCATGGTGGTACTGTTGGGTCTCTGTAATTAATGTTATGAAGAGTTCGGTCTAGACCTGCTCTATTTGAAAAGTGCCCTGAGATAACTTCTGTTATGAATTGACACTATACAAATAAAATTGAATTGAATTGAATTGAACTGGGTTTGGTTGATTTAAAAATGACTGTATGTGAAAACTCCCTGTGACGCTCAGCGTGACACAAACACATTCCCACTTTATCAGGTTCAGCCCTCCATCCATTGTCTGATTTCCATGAATCTGTTGAACAGGTTTAAGCACCTGCAATTAAACACCTGCAGCAACCAGAAACACCCAGCAACAACCAGCAACACCCAAACTGAAGCAACCGGCAACACGCAGACTGAAGCAACCGGCAACACCCAGCAACAACCAGCAACTACCAGTAACAACCAGCAACACCCAGACTGAAGCAACCGGCAACACCCAGCAACAACCAGCAACATTTAGCAACAACCAGCAACAACCAGAAACATACAGCAACAACCAGCAACAACCAGCAGAAACTACGAACAACCAACAGCAACCAGCAGCAACCAGCAACACCCAGACTGAAGCAACCAGCAACACCCAGCAACACACAGCAACAACCAGCAACAACCAGCAGCAACTAGCAACAACCAACAGCAACCAGCAACAACTACCAACAACCAGCAACAACAACCAACAACCAACAACCAGCAGCAACTACCAACAACCAACAACCAGCAGCAACCAGCAACAACTACCAACAGCAACCAGCAGCAACCAGCAACAACTACCAACAACAACCAGCAACAACAACCAACAACAACCAAACCAGCAGCAACTGCCAACAACCAACAACCAGCAGCAACTACCAACAACCAGCAACAACAACCAACAACCAAACCAGCAGCAACTACCAACAACTACCAACAACCAGCAACAACAACCAACAACCAGCAACAACTACCAACAACCAGCAACAACAACCAACAACCAACAACAACAACCAACAACCAGCAGCAACTACCAACAACCAGCAACAACTACCAACAACCAGCAACAACAACCAACAACCAACAACAACAACCAACAACCAGCAGCAACTACCAACAACCAGCAACAACTACCAACAACCAGCAGCAACTACCAACAACCAGCAACAACTACCAACAACCAGCAACAACTACCAACAACTACCAACAACTACCAACAACCAGCAGCAATCAGCAACTGATTACTCAGTAATATGTAATCCATTACTCCCCAGTCCTGAACATAAAGTAAATATAAACCGTTTTTATACATTACAGTTGTCTCAGTTATTTATTAATGTATTTCAGGCCTGAAGCAGGAAACTGTTCTTATACAAGGACTTTATATAATAAACATGCTTCAGTTTACAATTACAGTCCCTGTCCCTTTAATGTCAAAGGTCAAACTCACTGAAACAAGAAACCATAATATTCTGACAATATTATACAACCTCTGTTCCTGATTATATGATATATATATATGATATTCTTTATTCTAATTCTACATGAAGTTTAAATTAATATGAAACAACTAGAAAGAAATGAATACAATCTTGGTCTGGATTATATTATTTATAATAATAATAGTAATAATAATAATAATAATAATAATAATAGTTGGATATTTCTGGTGTGTTCCTGATGTTTCTGACGTAACAATAATAACCTGACACCAGGTGCCAGCAACACCCAGACTGAAGCAACCGGCAACACCCAGCAACAACCAGCAACATTTAGCAACAACCAGCAACAACCAGAAACATACAGCAACAACCAGCAACAACCAGCAGAAACTACGAACAACCAACAGCAACCAGCAGCATCCAGCAACACCCAGACTGAAGCAACCAGCAACACCCAGCAACACACAGCAACAACCAGCAACAACCAGCAGCAACTAGCAACAACCAACAGCAACCAGCAACAACTACCAACAACCAGCAACAACAACCAACAACCAACAACCAGCAGCAACTACCAACAACCAACAACCAGCAGCAACCAGCAACAACTACCAACAGCAACCAGCAGCAACCAGCAACAACTACCAACAACAACCAGCAACAACAACCAACAACCAACAACCAGCAGCAACTACCAACAACCAGCAACAACAACCAACAACCAACAACCAGCAGCAACTACCAACAATCAACAACCAGCAGCAACTACCAACAACCAAACCAGCAGCAACTACCAACCAGCAACTAGCAGCAACCAGCAACAACTACCAACAACCAGCAACAACAACCAACAACAAACACACAACACCAACAACAAACGCAACCAGCAGCAACACAACAACCAAACCACACAACCCAACCACAACTAGCAGCAACCAGCAACAACACCAACAACCACAACAACAACCAACAACCAGCAGCAACTACCAACAACCAGCAACAACAACCAGCAACAACTACCAACAACCAGCAACAACAACCAACAACCAACAACAACAACAACCAACAACCAGCAGCAACTACCAACAACCAGCAACAACTACCAACAACCAGCAACAACAACCAACAACAACAACCAACAACCAGCAGCAACTACCAACAACCAGCAACAACTACCAACAACCAGCAGCAACTACCAACAACCAGCAACAACTACCAACAACCAGCAACAACTACCAACAACTACCAACAACTACCAACAACCAGCAGCAATCAGCAACTGATTACTCAGTAATATGTAATCCATTACTCCCCAGTCCTGAACATAAAGTAAATATAAACCGTTTTTATACATTACAGTTGTCTCAGTTATTTATGAATATATTTCAGGCCTGAAGCAGGAAACTGTTCTTATTAAAGGACTTTATATAATAAACATGCTTCAGTTTACAATTACAGTCCCTGTCCCTTTAATGTCAAAGGTCAAACTCACTGAAACAAGAAACCATAATATTCTGACAATATTATACAACCTCTGTTCCTGATTATATGATATATATATATGATATTCTTTATTCTAATTCTACATGAAGTTTAAATTAATATGAAACAACTAGAAAGAAATGAATACAATCTTGGTCTGGATTATATTATTTATAATAATAATAGTAAATAATAATAATAATAATAATAATAGTTGGATATTTCTGGTGTGTTCCTGATGTTTCTGACGTAACAATAATAACCTGACACTGAACGAACCTGTTCCTCTGTGTCTCCATTGTTGAGCTCTGTGGGTGTTTCCATGCTGTCTGACTGTGACTGTGATCAATAACTCAATCTGTTATATATTATATGCACAATATTGTTTACTTTAGCTTCTAATTAAATTTATAATTTTGTCAGGGACTCTAGCCCGAAACTGTTTCCATGGTTCGGTCTCACACTGAATTTTTGTTGGGCCCAATCAAAGCTTCACATTCCCACACTGAGCCCAAATACTGTAGATCAATCAATAATCAATAGTTATGATTTAGGCATTTAGGTTCCTTCAGATCCAATGACTAAAATCCTTCATCTGGAGTCTTGCTCAACTGTTATTGGAGGACAGAGCAGAAAGGGGCGGGACTTACGATGATCAAAAGCTCCAGAAGAGCTCTTGAGTGGAGCTGGTGATAACATTGTTGTCTCCAACTAACTCTCTGCTTCGATTAACATCTTATCGTAACTCGTTGTTTTGTTTACCCATCAAATCTCCCAGCATGCACTGACTTCTGGTGGAGGAAGAGGTAACCATGGCGACCTTCCCTAACTTTTTTTTTTTTTTTTAGGTATTTGCATTTCGGGACATCAAGCAAAACTTTCCATGTCAGGTCAGGTCCCGTTGGCACGAAGATGTGTTCAATTACTGCTGGGTGGGGCGCACACACACACACACACACACACACACACACACACAGTACTCTGCCCCGGAGCAACACCTGTACTCAACAACCAACCAATGAGCAGCTCCTCCTCCTCCTCCTCCTCTTCCCTACCACCATCATCATAATCAACAGCCACAACATAAAACTGTAGGCAGGACGACCGGTCTGACTGCAGAGATAAACACACAATAAAGAGATAATAAAAAGTCAAAAAGTTAGCAACATGTAAACAAGATCATAACAGACGTCAGTAAAACGTCACAATATACTGCTGATGATCTATATTTATGATTCAATCTATAATCTGTAACATTTCCTCATTAATTATTTATATTATCATAGATTTGAACCAGATGAAGGATTTTAATCATCGATGAAACAAGCTGAGCTAACGTTAGCAGCAGCTCAGCTCGCAGCCCCTCCAGGACGTCCTTTATCTGCCCGACAGCATGAAACTGATACTATTAATAATAATAATAATAATAATAATAATAATAATAATAATAATAATAATAATAATAATAGGCTCATACTGTTTGTATTACTACTGTTTTAGATGGAATCTCATTTCTGTGGAACTGCTTTATTCACTGTTGTGTGTGCACTATAGGTTTATTGATCGGCTGATTATCTGCAGGCAGGCTTGTTGCTAACGATGTTAGTGCTCCCTTTATGAGTCTCATCCTGCTGTAAACCTTCAGCTTTAAACACTAAATCAGATCTAAAACTGTATCTGACTGTGTTAAATATATGTTTATAATGTATCTATAATGTGAATATCGTCATTATATATCGGACCACCTGCTCTGTTAATATCAGCTATTGAAAATCTCAAACCTGACCACTATCTGATGGGAACTGTTGCTCCATCCTGAGATCAGTAAGTAACGTTGGTTATGATTTGGTGCTTTACAAATAAAACTGAATTGAATTGAATATCCTCCCCTACAGACAGATATTACATACAGTCCGTTGGGCCGTGTGCATCTGAAGGAACGATGCTCACAGTCTCACTGGTGTGAACTTAAAGAAAAATGAGCCCTGCAGTGAGTCATGGTGCCTTTTTTAAATTCTTTTAAAGGGCGGAAACCGAACAAGCAACCAGCACACACCTGATTCCACAACAGGGCAAGACCGGGGAGGAGTTACCTGCCGCTATAAGATCAAACCTCCTCCGCCCCCGAGCACATTCGATACACAAAGGCAGCCATGGCAAACTTCCTCAACCAGCTGGGCAACCAGGGCATCGCAGAGGTTGTCGGAAAGAAAGCGGGTGAGTATCTTTTGTAAGATATCTCTGAGATCAGATCGGTTTTAAACAAAGTCTTCTGAACGTTTCCTCTCAGTCGTAGAATCACACATCTTAAATAAAGAGAGCTAACACTATTACCAATATTAGAGATATTTATAGAATTATTAACAGACAATGTTCAGAGTTCTACGTTTGTCTCCTTTAAAGACGACGGACAGAAAAGATTTAACAGTATAGAATGTCAGTATCACAGAGAGATCGGGCTATTTGCTGCAGCGTTTGCTTTAACCCCCGGGGGGGAGCAGGCAGGTTGTCAGGTAACATCAGGTGAGCAGAGCCTCAATTTATTTAATTAGTCTAAAATATTTCTGTAGCCCCGCCCACCCAGTGCTCCAGGCAGGGTGAGTCTTATTACAGTGCGGAGGATCAGAGGACGTTTATTACAGTCAAACTGGAAATATAAACTATATTAATATTAAAAGGTTCCATATGTCCTTTGTTCCTCTGCTGCCTGTGGACTGATTTCTGTGTTTCTATGTAGGGATGAGGGTCAAAGGATGTAAAGTAAATACAATAAACAATAAATGATACAAAGCTAACAGTTGCCTTCTGCTAGCCGAGAGCGATGCGAGTCCCGTGTTTGTCCAGACGCCGAACTTACCATGTGTTTGCTCTGCAGGCGAAGTGGTGGAGAACACGGTGAAGAGTGTTCTTGGGAAAAGTGAAGAGAACAAGGAGGAGGGGAAGTCAGGAGGATTCGATGCAGGAGACGTCCTCTCACTGGTCGGCGGTAAAAAAGACGACAACAAGGGAGGATTCGATGCAGGAGACGTCCTCTCACTGGTCGGCGGTGGCAGTAAGGGAGAAGAAGGAGGAGGTGAGTCAGCTGCCCTTTGTTTGTAACCGGTCTCATTACAGTTAATGAAAGTAGTGAGTTTGAGTTAAACTAGTGAGTTTCTTATCTTCGCCGTTGACCGACAGCAAGCCCTCTTGCCATTGCTGACCTTTACCATTCTGTCGTATCACAAAGGCACAAATATATTAGCAGTTTTCCCCTTCTCGCACTATTTCAGTGCAAAAATATCAATGTAGGCTGCAACAATCCCAAAAAACAGTCGCCAAATCCTGGATGGACTGTGTGATATGCTAACTCTGCTAACACATGGCTAGCACTACAGACTGTATTGATAAATCTTGTCAGTGAGGCCACGCCCTTCATTATTCATAACTTCAAGCCTTAATATCATTTAAATTCAGTCCCTGTACAGTCGTCATGAACAGGGAAATTAGCTGTAAAGACCAAAAGGCAGTAAACATGTTGGACAGTTTAATATGGGGCCTTATGGAGCCAGCCTCTAGTGGCCATTAGAGGAACTGCTGCCACAGTGGTTGCTGATTGGCTGGAGCCCCGTGAGGTGAAGGTCCATTGTGAAGGAGTAACTGTTGTTTCCACTGAATCAAATGGAGGTTTAAAAGTTGGCACCAGGATTTGTGCGCTGTGTCCTACGTGGTCTGTCTCTAATGTTCGTCTGTCTGTGTTCCTCAGGCCTGGATGTGAAGAACGTTGTTGGAGGACTCTTTAAGTAGGAACCCTGCAGACCTCATCCCGACTTTCAGCTTCAGTCCATCAAACCTGCAAAAGCTGCAGCGAAAATGTTGAACATAAAGTCTTTAAAAATGATATAAATATAAACGTGTTTAATTGTTTAATTAAATGTAAATAACTGAATTCATGGCTGGTTGACAATGTTCATGTTTTCTTTACTGAACCATGGAAAGGAAGGGTTCATCTGATGACCTCTGTTCATTAAACATTAATAAACTGGGTTATTATTAAAGTTATTGTCATAAATTAAATGTATTAAATGCTAATCGAATGCAGATTGTAATAAAACTAGTTTGACACCATCTTGTTGTTGTACTCTTCAGATTTGATCAATTCAGATAAAATGTGCACTGTAAAAAAAGAACTGTCTTCATTAAATGTTTTAGTAAAAGTCAAACTTTTAAGTTTAGAAATAAAATAAAATGTAATAATGTTTTATTGAAGTAATTAATTTTTCTTCTGTAGAAAACCTTATGTGACTTTCAGAAACTGAAATATTTGTTCTCAGTGAGTCAAGAACTTGATTTTTTTTAATTATTTGGCTGCTTGAAAATTAAATAGCTGCAATTAAATATTAAAATATTAGTTTTCTGAGCAGGTTTTAAAATATTAATGATAATAATAATGATAATAATATTAATGGTACTTTACATTCTTAGAAACAAAATATTATAATAAAGAAATTGTCTCATTAAGGTGACTTTCAACCACCCAAATAATAATAAAAAATCAAGTTCTTGAATCACTGAAAACAATTAAAGGAAAACAGTTTGTAAAACTCAAAGAAGTTTTTCTAAAGAAAAAAAATGATCTCAAATAAAGATTATTTATTATTATTATCATTATAAAGATTACCATTAGAAGGGTGAAATAAACCATTTCCAAAACTTAAAAGTTTTGACTATTTTTTACAGTGTATATGCATGAGTCAGTACAAGATGTTAATTAATTAATTAATTAATTAAATGAGATCAACAGACACGGCTCTGTCTCCTGTTTCAAATCATTAATCTCTGCTGCCTGTTAGCATCTTACAGAAATAAAGTTTCATTTGATTGAACAAATATATTTAATTGTGCACGATGAAGACGAGAGATGTGAAGAGGTGTGTGGAGGTGGGTGTGGTTTGCACTCAGCTGCAGGAGAGAGAGAGGTGTGGGGAGGGCTTGTGAGAGCAGCACCAGGTGAGTTGGTTGTCTCAGCTGCTAATCGTTGCCTAATCACTCTACCTTTATGTTGCAGTAGTGTGCTGGACCCCGGCCCGGGGGTGCTACTGAGAGCGAGAGCCGCAGAGTAGTAGAACTGATTGTGTGTTGTTTATGTTGGCAACACCGAGACTAACAACAAAAGTTACATGAAGCAACTATCTGGTCTGAGAGTTTGTGTTAAACAACTATTATATGACACATATTAAATGTGTTTAGAGAGAAATTACTGAATTTACTTCACACAGACTTTAATGAAGGAAGATAACATAACTGAGCTACAAGGTTCAGCTTAATGTGAATATAAAGAGTTTGATCACAGTTCAATAAACACGTTTTAAGGTGGAGGAGCTCTTCTGTTCTACCTGCAGTGGATTCATCATGCAGAACTACACCTGTAGATAATTATAATATTAATATATTATGTCACAGTTGCTGCCGCCCAGTTCTGGAAACTTTAATCTGACGAGTTTCATAGTGAGTCACACATTTTACAGAAAGGGAGGAAAGAAACTCACACACACACACACACACAGAGGCCATTGTTGTCTTTGTCTCGCTGTAACGTGTCCAACCTGCAGCATCCTGCAAACACCTGCAGTCAGAACTCAGGGCTTCAGCTGCTCACTGTCACAACAAAGCTTATAAAGGTGTAAAATCAGAGTTGCAGTGAGTCCTGCTCAGGTGAGAGCAGGGCGTCCGAGCAGGTGGAACAGGTCGGTCCGGTCTGCAGACACACCTGATTCCTCGACGGCCAACGGGGAGAGACCTGAGGGAGGGGCGCCGCTCCAGAGAGTCTCACCTCCACCTGCCAGAAAACAGTCTCTCATCACACACTGACACAGACAGAGCCGCAGACAGACAGAGCCGCAGACAGACAGAGCCACAGACATGGATAGATTTGCACACATGATCGGAGAGAAAATGGGTGAGTAGAGAAAAGGGGGGAGGAAGAAGGAGTCCGGGAGGAGCTGATTTGTGTTTTTTTAATGGCGCTGATTTGCTTACATCTCCTGGTGTCAGTGTCTCCTCTCTGAGGCGCTTTATAATAATAATTATACAATCTGGGTAAAAAAAGGTTTTATGAGCCTGAGAGAGTTTCTGGAGACACTGAAGAAGGTTTAAATGTTTAAATGTTAGTTTCACTGACTCATCACAACAGACTCACTGTGTTTGCAGGCCTTTGGCCTTCTGCTGACACACACACACACACACACACACACACACACACACACACACACACACACAATTTCAGCAGGAAAGATCTTCACTTAAGTATTTGCTGTTGAGGTAATTTTGGCTCATTTCAAGTTCATTTAACTTTAACTTTAGTATTTTTAAGTGAAACGTGTTTCTGTAACTTACAAAAAGGGTTGGTTAGTTAGTTAGTTAGTTAGTTAGTTAGTTGGTTAGTTAGTGCCATTTAAAATGAGTGGAGGTAAAAGCAGCGTAACCAACGTCTTTATTTCTCAAACTCTGTTGTTTTGAGTTCTTGAATGCTCTCACTTTGTTGTTGTTTAGTATGATAGCATGTTAACACATCATTAGTTTTGTAGGATTACACTAATGTAGCTGCCGTTAGCGTTAGCAACTGAACGGGGCTCAGCAGCCTCCCAGTGAACACAACCTCAGAGACAGACAGAGGACAGACAGAGGACAGACAGAGGACAGACAGAGGACAGATTGAGGACAGACAGAGGACAGACAGAGGACAGATTGAGGACAGACAGAGGACAGACAGAGGACAGCGGTAGCGAGGTGATTTATGGAGTTTCCTGATGGACTTGTTGCTAAAAGAAGCTAACTGTTGCCAACAGTAATATTAGATACTGCTAGCTCGTGCAGCTACCGTTAGCTGACTTAGCCCCTTAGTGGCGGGAACCAATAGCGGCATTAAAATACCCTCAGTGCTTTATTCGTCAAATCGTCCTCCGTATGCAGGAAATCCGTCAATAAGCAAACAGCTCTGAAACATGTGAAAGCTGACGGCGTGATGCTGTTTGTTGTGCAGGAGACATGGTGGAGGACGCAGTGAAGAACGCTCTGGGCGCGGGAGACAAGGACGAGGACAAGGACGAGAAGAAAGGAGGAATCTTCTCGTTGTTTGGAGGCGACAAGAAGGAGGAGGAGAAGGACAAAGACGAGGGACATGGAGGATTCTTCTCAAAGATCTTCCACAAAGATGACGACGACGACGAGGGGAAAGAAAAGAAATCTGGATTCAAAGGTCTCTTCAATGAGCAGGAAGGAGCGAGTGCTGCCGGAGGCATCGAGGGAGGAAGCGACGGACAGAGTGGAGGATTTAACAGCACAGGAGTGAATGATGGAGGTACGTATGGAGAGCAACTGACCTCTGCAGAAAGACTTTACTTCACTACGTTCATCTGACGGCTTCAGTTCATCAAGATTTTAACATTATGGCACCAAAAAAATATTATAAATAACAGAAAATAACTCTAATTATAATAGTTTTTAGCTTTAATTTTACATAAAATCTAAATCTAATCTAATTTTTTTGTCTTTTAATGTTTAAATATATTTAAACAAGGATTTATAAATACAGGTAATATAAATAATCAGACTTACATTTCCAGCAGAGTGCTGTTATTATTGGATTGTTATTATTTTAATGTGAATGTTAAAAGTTATAGAACTGTAATAAAAGTCATTATCTGTGAGATTACAGTAATTATTGCTGTTTACACTGATAACAACTGTATTTGGACAGTTTACCTTATACACTGATAAACAACATTTATTCAACTTCCATCATTATACAACATATCTGTCAGTTCACTAACTAATACATTAAAATTACACAACTAATACTTTTACTGTTAATGTCACTAATTCTACATAATTTTAGAAATCTATTAAAATTATTAAACTTTCATTTAACGGTTTAATAATGAATTAAAGTAAATATACATTTTAGATTTACAATTGATTCTCAGTTTTGGCCCAAAACTTCTGCCGTAGGTCAGATTTGGGTCATTAATATTTAAAGTTACACAAACTAAATTTTCAAGTTTTTTTTTCACTAAGAAATAAAAAATGTCAAATTAAAGTCAGTGTTACTTAAAATTACTGAAGCAACTTGATCAATTATGTTTTACAAACGTAAATATAAATTTAGTTTGTTTTACTAAAAAAGAACAATAGATAATCATAAAAATGCTGAATATCAGATATGAGAATCAGTCTCTAGTTTGGAACCACTGTTTCCAAGTGACCTCTGACCTTTAAGTCACCTGTTTCATGTACAAAATCATTTATTCAGTAACGTCTGTCAACCCTTTGTTAAGTGTTTTTCTTATTTCTTTATGTCTACAAGAAACATTTAGGATTTAAAAGATTAATCTTTGACTTTTGTTGTGTTTCAGATTTGTTCAACGATCTGATGGACGTTGCTAACGAAACGTCTGCCGGGAAATAAAACACATCCTGAAGTTTCTTCCTCACTGACCTCCGCTGTCTGGATGTTCAAGAGTTTTTACAAAGACTGAAAAATCAACTTCTTCCTCTTATTAATGCTTGTTATATTAAATTAGCGGTTCCAAACATGGGGGTCGGCAGAACTTCAGAGGGGATCGTTGATTTTAAGGCGTGCTAGAAAAAATCTACACAGTATGACTATATCGCTGCATTTTATTCATTTCTGTGAAGAAAACTAAATGAAACTATTTAGATTACACTGTAAAACCAGATTTAACTCAAAAAATTGTTTACATTGTAAATTTTGTAAGTAAAAAGCTTCAGTAATATTAAGTGACGCTGACTTTATTTGAAGTGTAAAAAGTACTTAATGAAGAATGTTTTTTAAGTTGCAAAATTGAGTTTGTGTAACAACAATGTTTGTTAACGCATTACAGTGTATTGTTAGCCATCAACACAAACTGTATTAGAACAACAGCATCAGGTCAGAAAAGTTTAAAGTCTGAATGATTGTTAAAAATAAAACTAACACAGACGGAGAATTGTATAAAACTCATCTAATCTCAGTTCATCCAAATCTACACAAACTTCCTGCAGTTATTGAGTTCACTGTTTGCAGCAAGGGGAAACAGCAGCCTGCCTGTGTGAGCTGTAAGCAGATATTTCTCTGTTTATTTCTTCATTTAAACCAACTTATTAACAAATTTCACAGTTTATATGACATTAAAGCATGAAGGCTCATATATTAACCCGCTGGAATTACTTCTTTTACAGGCCTATATTATAAATACTTTTTTAACCTTAACGTAATATTACAAGATCTATATTCAGTACTATCCTGGTGACATGACCCAAATGAACAACTAGAAAACTTTAAATAACCTTCACAAAACTTAAGAGAAAAACAAATAATAATAATAATAATAATAAACTGTTTTACACGTCAGAACATGTTGAAGGCTTTAAAAGTCCTTATAGCTTTAAAATACGAGTCAAATCCTTCGTAACAATATACATACATTGATCTTTAACCTTTTCACAGACAAACACATAAAACAACTTAATTGACATTTTTAGGCTTCAAGTACACAAACAGAAGCATTATGAGCTATTTGTTCAAGCTAAGCTAACCTCATCAGGAGTGTGTTCTTAAATGAACTAGTATTTAATATTTTTGAAATTGTTCAACTATTCCTTAACTTCAGATATTGAACATGGCTTGCATACATTAGCTTGGCTTGCTACAGACAGCTAGCATAACACTGGATATTTATTGATTGATTACTTATTTGTATTTTGAGCGAAAAGCCACAAAGCATGTAAAGAAGCTATTGAGAGCTAGCTGATGTTACCTCATGCTATGCTAATGACTTGATTTCTGCAGGTTTATCTGACATATGAGCAGTTTTATACACACAGGCTGTCTTTGATTTCCTTTATTGGTTCTTTTACTTTCTAAATCTCGATTCAACAACACGTAAAATGTACAGATTCATCAGTCACACGTCTTTGTAATAAAATGTCAGCGTAAGCGCGAGCTGGGAAGTGATTGAATCAACTGTGGTGATGATTTAATAACGGGTTCATGTCCAAATGCATTAAAAGCTGGATGATTTCATATTGATGGAAGACTGTATTGATGATGTGATATATGAGCAGATATTCTGTAGCTCATCCAGCTCATTGATGATTAGTTTAACTGAAACATTAAATCACCCAGTTTGTACCTCATGTTGTAATAAATTGTTTGAAAGTCTAAACTGTAAAATAATCTGCAGGTTTACAGGTTTTTTATATTTATTTTAAATACATGGAAATATTAATACAGTTTAAAAAGATCCTGGAATTTACATCAATTATAATGACTTAAAAACTGTCATAAAATTACTGCTTAATTAAAAAAAATAACATAAAAAAGATCTAATGTATATGTATTGTTTATTTCATATATTAAACTGTTAAATTCAAGTTTAATACTGTTAATCAATTTCTAAAATTATGTAAAATCAGTGACATTAACAGTAAAAAAGTATTTGTTGTGTAATTTTAATGGATTAGTTAGTGAACTGACAGATATGTTGTATAATGATGGAAGTAGAATAAATGTTGTGTATCAGTGTATAAGCATTGGTAAACTGTCCAAAATACAGTTGTTATCAGTGTAAACAGCAATAATTACTGTAATCTCACAGATAATGACTTTTATTACACTTCTATAACTTTTAACATTCACATAAATTACATTCCAGATTACGAAAGATATAACAATGGAGCACAGAGGTCATGTAAAACACGTTTTATTGTAGATTTGTATTTGTCAGCAGAGCATCAGGATATAGTGATGATGAAGAGTTCACTAAGAAACTCACAATCTGCTTGGACTCTATTTACTTTCTTTTTTATTGGAGTCTTGAGGCTCTGTATTTTATCATTTATGGCCTTTCCAATTTCACCCCTGGTCTTCCCCGGGAACTTCTCGTGAGCAGAATCTAGAAACGTGCAGAGCAAAGTAATGAGTCTTCATGCTGGTGTAGATTACAGTTTCTCTCAGCCACTTTGGTACATTTCTCCAATCAGAATTGAAATGATCTGTCTGTTGAAGAGTCTTAACCCCCAAACATCTGGGGATTGTAAGTATATTTTCTCTACATTTCTTTCAGACCTTTTTGGTAAATGTGTCTTGAATTGATGATGTTGGGATCCAAGGAGACCTTTAAACATGAACTTGTTCATTTGAAGTGCTTAACTGTACCAAAGGGGGGATGTTGGGACCTGACCATGTAAGAAATGGTCATTACTACAGTGAGGCCCTTATGTAAGCAATAAAGCCTGCTCGTAGTGACTAAAGACAAAGAAAAAGGGCCCGCCAGTTCACAGACCCCTCAGCGGGGGGGCAAGAATGCGGCCAAGGTGTGGCATGAAAGCAACAAACGCCCAAACAGCAGCCCTTCATTGGTCAGATTCCCTCGGACCCCAGACCTGTCATCCCGGCTATTTAAACCCGAGAGACTCTCCTCTTCTCTCTCTTCTCTTCTCTCTTCGCTCGGCCACACCGGGTGATAAGTTTCGGACCTTGGCGCCGCACAACAAAGGTTTATAGCCCAGTATAAGAGCTTTTTCCTGCGATCCCTTGTCAGCGAACCGCTAACGGGAGTCAACATCTGCAGCTTTAAACAGAAAGTCTGTCAGCTGACTTTACCGGAGCAACGCCACGTTAACGCAGAGTCGTTAACTCTGCAGAGTAACGAGCGAAACGCCTTTCCTCTTGCTACCTGCGCCAGCGGACATCACACAGCAGCTGCATGCAACTAACTCCCTTTTAACGTCATCGTTAATCTAAAATCACACACACATATATTCGGCCTAAACCTCAGCACACACACGAGGAGAGGGATTCAAACCCTCCCGCATTCTCCATGCTCTTTGTCTCTCACTAATACATGTTTCATACAGCGAAACATCTGGTCAGAGGACAAAGGACACACACCTTTTCTGGCACACAACCCCCAATGCGCACACACAGACACACACCTTTTCCTCTAACTTAGTTCCTTTAGGTTATATTGTATATAGTGTATTTTCCTCTGTTTGCTTTTACTATATCTCTTTAATAAATGCTTGTGTTTATGCTGGCCTATTTAATTTCGTGCAAGAGTGAGTGGTACCAACCTCTTCTCTGTATAACTCCAAAGCCTTCCACTTTAGCTATTAATAATGATTTTGGTTGTAGTTATTCATTTAATTATTAATCTGACTTCTGAATTAATAGTTTAGTGTATTTTTATGAGACTGATCTATCAATTATTGGCTATCGTTTCGCACGGATCTTTAATATTAATTAAAGTCATTTTCCATTATCTTTTGCTAATTATACATTTTGATAACCATTAATTGATTGAACTAATACAGTTATGCTGCTTTCCATTTGTCTCGTGAACTCGGAATCCGAGTTGGAAAGTGTAAATCTCGCAGCTATCTCGCTTGATTTCACAGAGACACACCCCCTTTTGGTCGGAATTTCAGCCGTCCAGGTCGGGGTTCCCGAGCTGGACGGGGGGCACGTACGACCCACAAAACAAAGATGGCAGTGCCCATATTGAAACGTATTTTCTTTGTATTTGTACTACGTTGGTCGCTTTAATGTCGATTTTAAATGCTCTTACACACTGTTTACATTGCTGCTTTAGTCCGGTCACCAGTTTATGCATTGCACGGTGTTGCTGTGTGTGCAATACAAGTAAAGTTTTGTTTTCGAGCTGGTTTGCTAAATAGGCTAATGTAGCCAACAATAACACTAGCCTGCCCCTGGAGGCTCCTGGTGGCCCCTGGTGGCCCCTGGAGGCTCCTGGTGGCCCCTGGTGGCTCGAGAGAAACACCACAGCACTTGTTGAAATTGAAATAGGCGAAAATGGCAAAATATTATGGAAATGTAAGACCTGCAATAACGGAATTACTTGAAATGTTAGTGTTTCTGTAGAAAAACATTATTTCACATTGAGCTTGTTTAGATGATCCACAATCAATAACAACACAGCTGCTGCACTTCTTTCCGACTCGTAATGCCCAAAGACAAACTGGAACGCTATAAGTGGTACAAGCCAGGCAATGACGTCACGTTCTCGCGGCACAACAACTCTGGTTCCGAGTTCACGAGACAAATGGAAAGCAGCATTAGACCACTGTAACACCCTATGACGTGAAGCCCGACAATTAATTGCTTTCAGGTTGTCAATAATGGTGGAGAACAGCCATGTCCGTACTTCTGAGAGATAAACTTGTGCACAAGATACAGACTTCTGCAGATAATCCATGGTGTGGTCCTGCTTGTACAAACTGCTTCAAGAAATGCTGATAGATATATGATCAATATATGATCAATATATGATCGACATATGATTGATATATAACAGATATATGATATATGATTTGAGAAATGTACCAAAGCAACTGAAACATGCAGTAGTGGGTTCTCTTACAAGAGTTTACTAGACAGACAGACAGACAGACACAATTAAACAAAATAAAATTAACTCACCGATAATAGCATTCGCTTTTCTCTGATCAAGGGCTTTCTTCTGCGGCATGTCTGGTGCAATTTTAGATTTCCCTCCTGAGAGAGTGGGATTTTATTAGATTTCCTTATAAAGTAATTGACTGGTCAGGTGGTACTCACAATACTGACCCCTCAAGTTGCTTTGCATCAGTGTTTCTTTGTCGAACACACCCATCACCAGCTTCTTGGTCATAGATGATGCAGTTTTAGCATTGTTGGCTTCATCCCACACATCACTGGTCACGAATACACCCGATCCTGAATGTATTTCTTTCTGCTAAAAGATCATGTTAAAAGAATAAGACAGTGTACACAAAGCATGTTAATCCAAGACATGAGATGATAACCAGCTAAAAATATCATTTTGTATATCAATTTATGTCAACTGTGATGACAATGAATGTTTTCTGTTGCTGAAAAGTTTTGGGATTTAAAACCAAATCCTTACAAGTTATAATAGTAAAGCACTATAGTTTGTGAAACAGCATGACCTTCAGGTAAAATCATTTCCTACTGCAGGACTAGCATTTCCTACTACTACAGCACTGGCATTTCCTACTGCAGCACTGGCATTTCCTCCTGAGCTCTGCAGTATTTGTTCTTCTTGGGTCTCTGCAAAGAGGGAAACAAAAGTTACATTAGTATTTCCTTTTAATTGCTGTTACTGGAATACAAACAATATGTGTTATATCCAGTCAAACTAAAGTAAATCCATGTATTGATGTATTTATTACCATTTAGTTAAATATATTTTAATGCACTTTAAAAAAAAATGAGAGAAGACTTCATGTGTAGGGCTGAACAATGTGGTAAAAAAAATAACACAGAATCGTAGAGTGAATACTTCTTAATTTCCTTAAAAAAAGGATGCTGATGTGTCGGTACCAACACATATTCTGTCATTCTTCTATCCGGAGATTATTATTTGTGAGCCAGAGAGATTTAAATTACATTGCCTTTTCACTGGGAAAAGTAATCCAATTACAGTAGTAGTGAGTCATCTAAGAGTTATTGTGGATAGGAAAATACAAGCTTTTAACTGCACTTATATTCCTTTTGTCCCCAAGAATGTCTCTTGGTGGCTGCTGATGTCTGGTACCTAATTTCTCTCCCACAGTTTGATGTGCAGTTTTCCTTTTTCATCCTGATTCAACTTCGAGGTCACCTCGTCCCAACTTTTACCACCCACACTCCCTTCTCATCTCCTACCTCCTCTGCTTATTGCACGTATCACTTCCTGGGCCTGGTTCCCATCTCGAGTCCTCACCTCTCTGAACTTATTTACCATCAGTCCATCACCCACAGACAGCCTTCATCTATGGAATGTAATTAGCTGTGTAACTATACTGTTTCCATATAGAAAGGTACGTGAAATAACACAATATGATAATGTTTGCTTCATGTTCACAGAACCTTATCCCTGAATGCATTTTCCCACCACAACTTTGATTAAATAGCCGTGAGATATTTTTTTTAAATCACGAGTGCCTCAGACTTCTTTTACAGTTCTCTACTGTGACTTTGTTTAATCCTCATTATTGATACGTTAGATTGTGTCATTAGAGCCCGAGCAGCGACTGCTTGCAGCTTTAATTTCTGGTTGTCTTGCACCTTGGTTCCTTTGTTAATGTGGTAACTGTTGCAGTATTTTCATTTTTACCTGAAACGTTCAGCTTCTGCAGACCTTGACCCAAAGCGTCAATTTCTTCTGGTGGAATCCTCTTTCTTCCGTCCTTTGTCTCCATTTGCCCCTGAGCATAGGAGGAAACAATGTCTTTAAAAGATGCTGCTAGCAAAAAAGACCATAAGAACTATTTCCTAATGTTGCATTGGTGGTTATTTGCCTTCATGAAACTCACCTTGTTTTGTGCAGTGGAGGTTGAACGTTACTATGTTTGGTCACAAGGTGGCAGCAAAGATCACTGAGAGAAGAAGGTAAATATTCAGTTTGATTTCTGCTTTGTTTTCACTTGACAATATTTACACTTCATACTGCTCACACATCCACATTTACATTACTGATGTTACTGACTGACACACTTCTCATTTGTATTTATAACCTAAGTTGTTTAAGTTTATATAATAAATTCACTATGTGCCATCTTTTGTGTCCTCCTCTGAGAGACAGGGACAGAGACAGACAAAGACAGAGAGAGAGAGAGAGAGAGAGAGAGAGAGAGAGAGAGAGAGAGAGGAGGCAATGTCTTTAAAGGAGTCATATTATGCCCCTTTTCAGGTTCATAATTGTATTTTGTGGCTCTCCTACAATAGGTTTAGATGTTTTAATGTTCAAAAAACACAATATTTTTCTCATACTGCCTATAGCTAAGCACCTCTTCAGGTGCACTTTTCAGCCTCTGTCTCTTTAAGGCCCCCCTTACGAAAAGCCCAGCCTGCTCTGAATGGTCATCATTATGACGTGGATGATGCCGTTGGCGCTTTCTCGTTCGCTTGCTCGCTCGCTCACTCATAGGGACAGTGACGTGGCTCAGCTAGATAACAAAGAAGTAAACTGCGGTGGGTTGCAAGTTTGACGTCAGAAATGGGCAAAAGAAATCTGAATTGAGTGTTTTATCTCCTGTATTTTGACCGAGGCAGCTCACAAAAACATGAGTCATCTTTTTTCACACTTTACCTGCTGATAAGCACTCCAGATTCCCAAATGTATATAATCAAACGATTAAAAAGTTGGTTTTGCAAAATATGTCCCCATTAAAACTTATATCTAAGATCTAATCCAGGATATATTTTCATACTCACTCGCTTCTTCCCGTCAGTGCCTGCAATCCAAGACTTGATTAAGTCTGCGATGGCTGCCTGAGTGTTGAGTAACTTTTCTGTATCTCTGTAGCCGTCCGTTGATCCAGGGGTGTGTCCAGAGGGAGGTCTGTGTCTCAGAGGCTGTACCAACCATGCTAGGAATGAAGAAAGTTGGGCTCAGCTCTCTCTGGAGGAACAGTGCCTTCTCAGGATTCTTTAATCAAATGAGACAAATTATCACTGAAAAAGTGAAACATTTACAAAATATATTTCCTCTCATATTCTCTTAATCAAATCATAGAATCCATCTTTATTTCTGAGGTAGGGAGTAAAAACAATATACACATTCTTAATTAACACTCATGTTTTTTTACTCTGTTACATAAGTTACATAAGTTAGCCTACATAAGAATAGACCACATTTAATGAGCGCAGCATATTAAGATCATAATTCATGTACAGCAACCATCAATAAGCAATAATTAGGAGGTTGTTGATGGAAAACTCTCGGTTAAAGGCCTAGTAGTTGTAGAATATAGTCATGCACAATGAGGCATTAATAAGTGCTTCGTAATGACTAATAAGAGTCAATATGCTACCTAAATGCATGCTAATAAACAACCAGTCAATAGTTAATATGTGTACCTTAATATAAAGTGTTACCTCTGCTTAGATCAAATAGCTTTCATGTTTGAAATGTTTGAGTTAATGAAGTCACTCATCAGGTTTTACAGGGCGTTTCTTGCCCTCAGATGACGCAGGTAGGGGCATTTTAAAGCACCAGAGTGGAGGATCAAGCCACAGTTGTCATGAACCCGCTCTAAGCTCATGACAAAGGAGGGAGACCACACAGACAATTTGAAGGTTTTAAGCAAAAATACATTTAATTAAACAATATTCACGATAAATATAATTATAATATGTATATGTACTTCAGTGAGATCAGTAGTGTAGTGACTGTGTGTGTGGACATGGGTGAAGTGTGTGTGAAAAAGGTAATGCATGTATCAAAAACCAAAGACTCTATCAAAGACCAAAGACATCATCAAACCAAGGAAACTGCTGGCTGGAAGGAGAGAGCAGCACACGCTGATCAACCTCTTATAAAACCCAGCAATCAGGATAAACCAGGTGTAGTGCCACACCCTCTGCCACTCTGTCACCTGGTTGACCGCACTAGGTTGAGGAACCTTTGGTGAACACATTATCTACTGGGGTGTCAGCCCAAACTCTATTTCCCGCCAAGTCATTTTCAAGCACTATATCCACCCCATCCACAGAGAATCAGAATCAGAATCAGAATTGTTTATTGCCAAAAAGGTTTTTACAATGTGTCTTGGTGCATTGGAGCATAAAATATACAAATATACAAATCACACAAAAAATCAAACAGAAAAATAAAGTACTTTCAAAATATTAATAAATAAGGTAAGAAAGAAAGAAAACTGTGCAGAAGACGGGAGAACATTAATGTAATGCATACTGTATATACAGTTTAAGTGTCAAAGGGAAGGGCCTTGTTAATGAGACCAGCTGCAGACTGAAAGAAACAAGTTTTTTTGTGAGGTTTTGGTCCTGATGGACCATAGCCTCCTGCCAGAGGGAAGTATTTCAAAGAGTTTGAGTCCGGTGTGGGAGGGGTCAGCCACAATCTTGCCTGCATGCCTCAGGGTCCTAGAGGCATTCAGGTTCTGGAGGGATGGTAGATTGAAGCCAATCACCTTCTCAGCAGATCGAATGATACGCTGCCATCTGTCCTTGTCCTTGGCAGTGTCAGCAGCGTACCAGATGGTGATGGAAGAGGTGTGGATGGACTCGATGATGGCGGTGTAGAAGTGCACCATCATCGTCTTTGGCAGGTTGAACTTTACCAGCTGCCGCAGGAAGTACATCCTCTGCTGGGCTTTCTTGTCAGCTGATGTTCAGCTCCCACTTGAGGTCCTGGGTAATGCAATCTCCACTGTTTTCAGAGCGTTTAGCTCCAGGTTGTTCTAGCTGCACCAGGTCACCAGATTGTAAATCTCCCATCTGTAGGCAGACTCATCTCCACCAGAGATGAGCCCGATGAGGGAGGTGTCATCCGCAAACTTCAGGAGCCTGACGGACTGGTGACTGGAAGGGCAGCTGTCTGTGTAGAGAGAGAAGAGCAGAGGAGAAAGAACGCAGCCTTTCCAGGGCTCCAGAGTGCGACCAATTTGGTCGCACATGTGACCAAAATTTTTAAGAGTGCGACTAATCATTTTTCTAGGTCGCACCAGTGCACCTGATGCTGCCCGGGTGAAAACATACATTTATTTCGCAAGCGCATCATCTCTCTGTGTTCTCCTGTGACCGAACTCACACACTCATGGTAGGATCATATCGTGTTCTAAACCAATAAGAGACAGAGCTCGGGCAGGTCTTCGCCTCTGATTGGCTGTGGTCCTGTTCACTGCGCTAAGTTGCGTGTGTTTAAAAATTGCCGAGCCCCGGTCCTTCGGAGACAGCATCAAACTCGGAACCAGAGGAGGAGACAACAGAGTCTGGGATAGAGCCCGGCTCCGAGACCCAAATTAAAAAGGCCAAAATATATTCCTTCAGACAGGACTGGCTGAAACAAGTTCCCTGGCTGAGGTTCAACAAAGGACGTAACGCAATGCACTGCGTGTACTGTCAGGAGTGCAGTCAGAATATGGCCGGAAATAGTGCATTCGTGAGCGGGTCGTTTCGTATCGAACTTTAAAAAAACATAACATGTCTAAAAAACACACGATATGCCGTGACAAGTGTGTAGAGAAAGTGGCCCCTCTCTCAGCTGCATTTCAGCGGCAGGTAGTAGTAATCATTATTATTTTCATTAATAATTATTAAATATAATAAATATAATTATGAAATGTTTGAGTTTGAAATGTTCAATTTCAGTTCAGTGAAGCAATTTAAGCACAAGCACTTTTATTTGTAAATGTTTTATTTTGCTTAGTGTTTTAGTTTGAAATTTAGTTTCAACTTCAGCTCAGTGAAACACTTTAAACACTTTATTTTTCTTTTTATATATAATTGTGCTTCAAATAAAGACAAGCATTTCTCTACACCTTATTATTGTTTAAAAATCATTCACATTATATGAAAGTTATGGAGAGTGATAAAAAGGTGACCTTATGGCGTTAAAGGCAACGCAATGAAAAATTTGGGTGCACCTACATTTTGTGCTGGTGCACCTTAAAAAAAAAAAGTTAGGCGCACCAGTGCAACCAATGCAAAAAGTTAGTCTGGAGCCCTGCTTTCTCCTCACCAGTCCCACCCACCAAACTGGTGAGGTGGGGCTGGTGAGGGGTGTTACGGGGGATGGTGTCAGGACTGCTCCTTTGTCTGTCGAAGCGACAGTAGAATTCATTCAGATCGTTTGCTGGGCGCAAGTCGTTGATGGAGTGAGGGGTTTTAGGTTTGTAGTTGGTTATCAGTCTGAGCCCCTTCCAGACAGAACCAGAGTCGTTGGCTGAGAACTGGTGTTGAAGTTTCTCAGAGTACTGTCATTTAGCTTTTCTCACCGCCTTGATAAACTTGTACTTTGACTCCTTAAACCTGTCTCTGTCCCAACTCCTGAAAGCCTGCTCCTTCTGCAACTGTAACTGTCTGAGTTTGGCTGTGAACCAGGGTTTGTCATTGTTATAACTCACCCTGGTGCGTGATGGTACACAGCAGTCCTCACAGAAGCTGATATATGATGTCACAGCCTCCATCCTGTTGGTAGCAGTCCTGAACACATCCCAGTCAGTAGAGTCCAAACATGCCTGAAGGTCCTCTGCAGCTTCACTGGTCCACTGTTTTGATGTCCTCACAACAGGTTTACAGAGTTTTAATTAAAATGTTTCTGAGTAAAAATAACGCATTACAGTGTATTGTTAAATATCTAAACTCTGAAGAACTGAACACAAACTGTATTAGAACAACGGCATCAGGTCAGAAACGTTTAAAGTCTGAACGATTGTTTAAAATAAAAATAAAAATAAAAATAACACAGATGGAGAATTGTATAAAATTCATCTAATCTGAGTTCATCCAAATATACACAAGCTTCCTGCAGTTATTGAGTTCACTGTTTGGGTTCATTGATCAGTTATCAGCTGATCTGTGTTCAATACAGTCGGTTTACTCAGTGAGAGATATAAGGTTGATAGCATCTGTCTGTAAACTTACTGCTCAATCTGTGGAAATATGTTTAAAGGAATAGTTCAACATTTAGGGAAATATTTCTAAGAGAGGTTTCAGGATGGGTGGTTAGCTTAGCTTAGCATAAACACTGGAAGCAAGGGGAAACAGCAGCCTGCCTGTGTGAGCTGTAAGCAGATATTTCTCTGTTTATTTCTTCATTTAAACTAACTTATTAACAAATTTCACAGTTTATATGACATTAAAGCATGAAGGCTCATATATTAACCCGCTGGAATTACTTCTTTTACAGGCCTATATTATAAATACTTTTTTAACCTTAACGTAATATTATAAGATCTATATTCAGTACTATCCTGGTGACATGACCCAAATGAAAAACTAGAAAACTTTAAATAACCTTCACAAAACTTAAGAGAAAAACAAATAATAATAATAATAATAATAATAAACTGTTTTACACGTCGGAACATGTTGAAAGCTTTAAAAGTCCTTATAGCTTTAAAATACGAGTCAAATCCTTCGTAACAATATACATACATTGATCTTTAACCTTTTTCACAGACAAACACACAAAACAACTTAACTGTGACATTTTTAGGCTTCAAGTACACAAACAGAAGCATTATGAGCTATTTGTTCAATTCAATTCAATTTTTCAATTCAATTTTATTTGTATAGCGCCAATTCATAACAGAAGTTATCTCAGGACACTTTTCAAATAGAGCAGGTCTAGACCGAACTCTTTAAAACATTAATTACAGAGACCCAACAGTACCACCATGAGCAAGACCTTGGCGACAAGGGCAAGGGAAAAACTGCCTGTTAAAAGGCAGAAACCTAGGGACAGATCCTTCGGCTCTAGGTGGGTGGTCGTCTGTCTCGACCAGTTGGGGTGAGAGAGAGAGAGAGAGAGAGAGAGAGAGAGACAGAGAGAGAGAGAGAGACA